ATCCCCGCTCTCGGCGGCCAGCTTGTGATAGCGCCAGGTGGCTCCGCGCCCGTGTGAGACCCAGGTATCGCTCGTATCATCGGCCCATCACTCTGAGTGTTTTGTGCGTCCCTCTGATATGCTCGGGGATCAGCTGTTTTCCGGCAGGCCCTTGAACTGCCACCCTGTCCGCGTGTTCCCTTGTGTTGAGGTTCAGCCTTCTCTGACATCCTGTTCGCCTGGGTTTCAGCGCGCTCGACTCGCTGGGCAGCATGGCGTATAAGGTGCGTGTGCAGGCCAACGACGACGTGTACGAGACGACGCGGCAGCGACTGGCCGACGTCGAGGAGGCCAGCAAGAAGAACTGGTACGTGACGGGTGCGCGCTGCGTGACGACGTGCCGGGTCCTGTCCCAGACCGGAACCACTCCCTTCCACAGACACCGTCTCCCTTGGAACATGACGTATGGCATCCTTGGGACGCATGGCGACCACAATCTCCAGAGCCAGCCGGTGCCCCGCCGGCGTTCAATGGGCCGAGGCGGCGGTCGGTGGGGGTGGTCGACCGCCGCCTCCCGTCGCCCGCTGGCAGGCATCGCGTTCGCACCGACTGATATGCAAACAGCTGCCGAACCGGGTGGCAGTGCAGCGAGCGCCGTCTGCGGGCCGGCATGCTTTATTTAGCCGCCGCAGCTGCGAGTAGACGGCTGGGCGCTGCCTCGCCAGGCAACGGCAGGCGCCTGTCGCGCGCACAGCTGCGGGACAGGCGCCGCTCCAGAGAACGCGGCGGTGCCGGCGCCGTGCCGACCCGCCCCCGGACACGGACCCCGCCTCCTCGGCAAGGGCCCGCCCTCTCGGACACAAAGCCTGCCTGGTCCGCCCTGTCCTCTCCTCGCGACACGGGCCACCCTGTAGGCACACACGGGGCCGTCGTCTGAGCACCAGACTGCTCCCATCACCACAGATGCGCCTCCTCGGCACAGGGCCTGCGTCCTCAGACGCCGCCGGCCACCTCTGGACGCGGCCCGGCCCGGTGTCCGCCTGAGCGGCCGAGCGGTGACCGGAGCTCAGTGCCCCGCGGCGCGCCGGGCCACAGACCGGCCGTGTGCCGCCGACGGCGCGCCGGCCCGCCAGACGGCGCTCAGGCCGCTCTCGGACCGACGCCGAGCGACGGGCCAGCGGTCACCGGCGCGGCGTGCGGGCTGGACGCCGCTGGGAGCGGCGGCTGATGGGAGTCGGTCCCGCCACGCCTCCGTGCCGTCAGCGGGGACGGCCGGCGGCTGGCCGTCGGACACGGGCGGACGGAGTCTCACCTGGCGCGGCCGGGCAGCCGCCGCCGTATTGATCGCGCCGCTGCCGCCGGCGGCGCCGCCGCCCGTACCGGCCGCTGTGGGCGGTGGACGCCAGCCGAGACTCGTACGGCAGCCGGGGGCCGGCGGGAGCACGCCCACCGACAGCCTGGGGCAGGTCGGAGGTACGCCCACCGACAGCCTGGGGCAGGTCGGAGGTACGCCCACCGACAGGCGGGAGCCGGCGGAGACACGCCCACCGGCAGGTGGTAGCCGGCGGTGGCACGCCCACCGACAGTCAGGAGCCGGCGGGGCACGCCTACCGACAGCCGGGGGCAGACCGGCCTGGCGGCTGGTCAAATGGCTGGCGGACGGAGCGGGTGACCTGGGGCGGCCCAACGGACAGCAAGACCGACCAGGAACTGGCAGGTGGAGGCGCAAAGTGCGCATGGAGACGGGACGGTCACCTCGCCGGGAGGAGGGTCCACAGTCCTCGGGAAATCCGACCGACATGGGGCTTGTTGAGCAGAAGTGGCTGGTGACGTAGCAAGATACGGCCCGGCGGCGCGCACGCCGCGCGCTGGCAATAACAGGGCGTGGGGTGCGCGCGGGCCGGTGTTGGCAGTCGTTGTTTACGCCGCCGCCGCTGCCTCTTAATCAATGTTGTCGACTGATTGGGCACCGGTTCACCTTGTGTGAACCTGCTCGGTGTCCACTGCCTGCGCGCTGCGGCCTCCCAGCCGGCCGCTGTGCTGACCTGCTGCGCGCGCTGACACACCTGTGCACCTTGACACGGATGGTGTGCGGCCGTGCTGCCCTCCCGAAACACAGCTGATCGGCGGCGACACGGCGTGTCCGAGCGGCGCTGCGAGGCCTCAGTCGCTGGTCCGCTCGCGTCTCTTTGCACTGCTCCAACAACAGCTCCGCCAGTGGTGCCCGATGGACGCGTCTGATCCCGGCGCCACCTAGCGGGTACTGCGCCGTTTCTCCTCCCCCGGTGCGCCTCAGGACCCCCTCAGAAGCCCACCCTGCTGTTCCTCATCCCTCCGGCGCGCCTGAGGACCACCTCAGAAGCCCACTCTGCCGTCCCTCCTCCTCCGGTGTGCCTCAGGACCTCCTCAGAAGCCCACCCTGCCGTCCCTCCTCCCCCGGTGCGCCTCAGGACATCCTCAGTAGCCCATCCTGCTGTTCTTCATCCCTCCGGTGCGCGCCTCAGGACCACCTCAGAAGCCCATCCTGCCGTCCGTCCTCCGTTCGGTGCGCCTCAGGGCCTCCTCAGACGCCCACCCTGCCGTCCCTCCTCCGTTCGGCGCGCCTCAGGGCCTCCTCAGACTCCCGCCCTGCTGTTCTTCATCCCTCCGGTGCGCCCCAGGACTTCTTCAGCAGCCCACCCTCCACAAGCCCTCCAGCCCAGGTCCGCAAGCCCCTTCGGCTACTGTCATCAGAACGTGGTTCTGGGTGGCGGCGGGGCGGCACTTGTCTGAAGGTGGCGGGGCTTAGCTTTGATTGTGTCCCGTGATCATAATATGGCGCGCCGCAACCGCTGTGGTTTGGCGGATTGACTGTGACACGGTGGTAGTGTAAGATATGCTAGAATAATGCGAGGCCTGCAGCGTACGTCATCCGATTACCATCGGCACTTCTAAGAAATACGACAGTCACTGTGATGAACATGACATGACATGGCGATTGGCGTGGCGAGAAAGAGGATGCTCAGAACACTCAGCCCTTCTGCAGCCGGCTTTGTTCTGGCGTAAAGTGCACAGCACATCCCGAGTGGTCACCTCTGGGAATATTAAGGGATGCTGGAAAAAACGATGCCCGGATAGCTTTCCAATGCAGCCCACAAACCGGATATGTGGGGCAAAAATGCTCGTCCGTGATGCTGCATGCCGAGCGGACGGACCCGGACCAGCTAAGCCGCTGTGCTGGGGAAACGGCTGCAAGCAGTAGAAGGGGGTAATCCGAGAGCGGGTGTACCTTCTCGGCTGCCAGGTGTCGGCCCAGTCGTACCTGATATCTTTGTGTGACCGCACTTGGGCGTAGTGTTTCACCTGAAGGACGAAACACGCGGCTATCTTGCAGTCGATGCATATCAGACGCCTGAATGAATGAGCGAATGAATGTATGTATGTATGGGTTTGAATGATGGCCCATGAATGGCGCGGAAGGCGCAATAAATCTGGTACGTTAACGTAGGTTCTCGCACTGCCATGCGCTCAGCCTATGTCAGAATGCAGCGTGGTTCTTCAAAGCGCTGAGCCAGATCAGAAGGTCTCTTCAATCAGTGGACGGGAACGATGCACTTGCTGTAAAGGTTGTAATCCACGCGTACTTTTCGGTTGGTACAGTTTATAATTATAGTTGCGAAAACGCATTCCGCAAACGCCAAAGAGATAGTTCATTTTAGCATGCACAGAAACCTAGGAGTGAACGGGGGGGGGGGGGGGGCGACTCTCCGAAGCTGCCTTTTAGTTCATTTTAGCATGCACAGAAACCTAGGAGTGAACGGGGGGGGGGGGGGGGCGACTCTCCGAAGCTGCCTTTTGGATAGCGCACAACCGCAAATGCTTGGAACGTTCTATGCCTGTTGCAGCGTGGTTGTAGGTTTTTATGAGCCGTTGATTCCGATACATGCGGCCACAATCATTACAGCTCCTTTAAAGTGCAAGGCTATGAGTTCCTGAATCTAATGACCAGTCATTTTGAGCATGAGAAGCATACGCCCGCAGCTGCGTGGCACGAGATTATGGGCGCATATGGGCGCTGTTGCCAAAATCGTTTCAGATATCCGCTGGATGATGCTCACTGATTCTGAAAGAGTGCCAAATATGTAATGCGTCTGTTTCTATTTTCTAATGACATGCCAGCTAGCTATTCGTCCAGGATTAAGCGATTGTAGCTGTATAAGTTGACTTTTAATGAACACGACGTGCTTGAATTCTTGTGGAGAGCTTATCACGCATGCAATTAGGATCACACGGAGAAGGCCGGATTATGCATGTTATATGTGTAAGCCATATATTCTTGAAGTCAGCTTTGTAAGCCTCTCTGACCGTCGAAGACCAGTTCAGCTGGCTAGTCAGCGACTAGATGGCTTACATAAGTACTGCATGTCACGTCTGTTATCTCATCATAATACGCGATTAACCAAGAGGCTTGGATAGCAGGTTGCGCAAGGTTGTGCGTTGGTCAACGCTATACGCTATTTTGGGCAAGATGAATTTACGGTGAGTGCCTTCAGATAATAACTGAGCTTCTAGTGTTGCCAGGCCTCAGGCCAAATGTCGTACACCGGTCACCGGCTCCACCTATACTGGAGCCGAAATCGGTGATCATTTTCACCAGCAACGGCCATGCCAGCCGGAAGCCCGGCGAACGGCCTGTGGCTGTCCGGTGGCCATCCACACCTGTGACGGCAGGGTGGATGGCAGCCTCCTCGCGCCCTTCCGCGACCATGTCTCCTCGCTCGTGCCTTGACCGCCGCTCCTCCCCGACAGCACCCGGATGATCAAGCAGTCGGACCCCTTCCTCGGGCGCCGCGTAAAGGTGAAAGCGCCACCGGGGCGCGCGCCGGCGCCGGCGGCGCGACGACCCGAGCCGCTGCCGCACCGCTCTCCGACGCGCCTCAGCCCGCGGCCGGCCGTCCAGCCGCGGACGGCACCGGCGCCAGGCACGGCGCCCGGCCGGCCGGCCGCCACCGCCGCCGCCGCCACCGCTGCTGCCGCCGCCGCCGCCACCGCTGCCGCCGCCGCCACTGCGGTCGCCACCTCGACGTCGTCGGCGTCGCCGGACGTGATGCGTCGGCCGCTCAGGTGAGAGGACGAGCCCGGCGGGCACCGAGCGGCCTCCGCTGTCGCCGGCTGATGTCCCCAGTCTGCTGGCGTCGCCCGGCCGTCTGCCTGTCGAGCGATGAGTCGTCTCACCGTCCGCGACGCGCCCCGTCTGCAGAGCACAGCAGAGCGGCGCCGTCTGGCCGGCCGCCGCCGGGCCGCGCCGCCTCGTGAGTGGGCCGAGTGTCGGCCGTCTGCTGACGGACCGCCTGATTCCAGGGAGCGGCTGGCACACCTGCTGGCCACCCGGCCCTGCAAGAAGATCGAGGTGATGCAGAAACTGTACAAAGGTGCGTGAGCGCGTCGGCGCGCCGGCCGGGCCGGCCGCTGTCCGACGTCGCACCGCGGCTATATTTAACGTCGGTGGGCGGTGGCGAGACACTGCCGCCGTCGCCGCCGCCGCCATGCCGCCGCCGGTGGGGGCGGGGACGTCTGGACACGTGGGCGCCGCCGACCGGCTGGCCGGTAACAGGCGGGGGGGGGGGGAGGGGGCGGGGAGGAGGGGGTCATGGCTGCTCACCAGCCCGGCGACCCCACCAGTGCGGCGCCAGTGCCCTCCGGTGGACGATATCACTCCGGCGGTGACACTGCCCGGAAAAGCGAAGCATCGATCCACACTGGTCGCAACACGCTGGCGCAGCGTCAGGCAGACAGACAGACTACGCTGAACTATTCGCACTGGTCGCAACGCGCTGGCGTAGTGTCAGGCAGACAGACAGACCACGCTGAACTGCTGAAGCGTCGCGTGCGACCTGCCTCGCTCCGTCGCTGTCCGGTAGAAACACGCACGCCTCCCCCCCCCCTTTCCACGCCACTCAGCAAGTGCGCGATAGCCGACAGGGACTGAGGGCTGTGTTGCTGGGTGCCGGGCCGAACATGTCATAGGAACGGCTTGCGTCGGACAGATGTTGTCTCTCAGCGAAAGCCGACGGGTTATCGGATACGTTTCCTACACAAGGGTGCATGGGGCGCGCTGACGTCTGGGTCCGCGGCTGACCGTCGTCGGTCCGAGGGGTGTTGTGCTAGGACCGCGTGACGAAGCGCGCATCCGAGGCGACGCTGCGACGTCCGTCGCTACGGCGCCGCTCGGCCCGTGCATGCGGTCGTCTCGGCCGCTTTCCCAAACGGCAGCAGTGCGGAACGTATTGTCTTCGCGCCGGCTGACGCTTTCGGGATGCTCGGACAGCGATTTGGCGTGCGCTCACAGCACGGGCGGAACAGGGAGGGCAGGGGCGGACATGTGACGTGCGGTGTGTGTTAAGCCTGCGATGGTCACGGGTCAGAGCCGCGTGGAGTGTCAGTCAGGTGTCGCGGAGGGGACTTACAGTGTTGTACGTGCACCGCTGGTGCCTTTCCTGCGATGCGCGCCAGCGTGGATCGATATGATGAGGCCACCAGGCGTAACTGGTGGCCGGGGGATGAGTGGGTCGAACGCATCGCCTGTGTTCGCTGTGCGTGTTTCGTTGACTCAGTTTGTGACCTCCCAGTCGCCAGGTTGGCGTTTTGTTGCCGTCATGATTTGCGTGCGCCGGCAACACTCGGCGCCGCCTCACGCTATCGCCGGTTGGCCGTGCTGACCGACCGCCCAACCCCGTCAGATGGGATCCGCGAGAAGGACAAGAAGAACGTGCACGGCCTGCTTGGCAGCGTGGCGTCGCTGCGAGACAACGTGTACTACCTGAAGCGGCACGTCTGGAACGAGGTGTCGCAAGACTGGCCGTACTACACGGAGCAGGAGCGGCGGGAGTTTGTCGCCCACCGGCCGGAGAACCTGACGCCGCCGAGCAGCGACTCGAGCAGCGGCCGCTCGCCGGCCGGCAAGCGGCCCTCGCCGTCCGCCGCCGACCCAGTCCCGACCGCCTCGTCCGCCGCCGCCGCCGCCGCCGCTAAGCGGCCGCGCGTCTCTCACTACCGTCGGCCGGGCGAGCAGGCGCCGCACGAGCGGCTGGCGGCGACCGGGCGGCCACGCGCCGCTGCCGCCGCCGCCGCTGCCGACGCCGGCGGCGAGCGCCGCAACACGGGCCCGCACTACGACTGGCGCAAGGCGCCGACGGCGCAGTCGCCGTCGTCGACTGGCGTCAGCGACCGCACGCCGACGCCCGACTCGTCGCCGGACAGCCACCACTCGGGCTCGTCGGCGCACCGCGAGGACGAGCCCGATTTTCTAAGGTGAGGATCGGTGGCGCCGGCCGCGCGCCGTCGCAGCGAGCGCGGCCATCGGCGCCGGCCGCGGCTCGGCCGCCGCCGCTGTCGCCACACAGCTGGCGGCGGTCGGGCGGTCGGAGGCGTTGCGTCAGCGCCGGCCGGCGGGAATGTCGGCCGCCCCCCGGGGCCGACCTGTGGCGCCGTCGCTGCCCGGTCTGTCGCCCCATCGGTCGGCCACCGAGCGCCGCTCCGCCACAGCGGGGTCGGGTCGGCTCGTGGCTGGAACGGGGGCGCCGCCGGGGCATTCAGAGGCCATGTCCCGTCTCGGCGTGGTCCCCGGGCGCTGCGCCATGCCCGCCGCCGGCGGCGGGCATGGCACGCGAGGCGGCGTCGACGTCATCTCAAGCTGCGACCTGTCGGGTCGGCGGACGGCATCGGTACGACCTTCGCGGCGGGGCCGCCGACTGCGCCCCCGACGCAGTCGCCTGTCCCCTCGCCCGGCCGAGCCTGTCCACGTCTCCCCCTGCCCGCCGACCGCGCCCCCGACGCAGTCGCCTGTCCCCTCGCCCGGCCGAGCCTGTCCACCGCCTCCCCCTGCCCGCCGACTGCGCCCCCGACGCAGCCGTCCGTCCCCCTGCCACGGCCGAGCCTGTCCACCGCCTCCCCCTGGCCCAGCCGACCTGCGCCCCAGACGCAGTCGTCCTGTCCCTCCGCCCGGCCCGAGGTCCTGTCCACGCCTCCCCCTAGCCACCGACTGCGCCCCCGACGGCAGTCCGTCCTGTCTCCCCTCGCCCGGCCGAGGCCTGTCCACGCCCTCCCCTGCCCGCCGACTGCGCCCCCGACGCAGTCGTCCGTCCCCCTGCCACGGCCGAGCCTGTCCACGCCTCCCCCTGCCCACCGACTGCGCCCCCGACGCAGTCGTCTGTCCCCTCGCCCGGCCGAGCCTGTCCACGCCTCCCCCTGCCCACCGGGCGTCACGCGGTGGCCGTCCCGCGGCGGGCAGGCAGGTTGCTGTCCGCTGCGCGGGAGGGGTCTGTGTGGCGGTGGAGTCGGTCGGTCAACCCGTGGGCGGTTTGTGGCACTCCCGGCTGACGGCCGTCCCGGCGCGGTCGGTCGGGCGGCTGCCGCCTGCCGGGGCTGTGCCGGCCAGGTCGCTGCGGCCGCTCCGGCACAGGCGGCGCCGTTCGGAGGCGGCGATCTCAGCCCTCGCGACGGCGCTCGTCCTGCGCGGAGCCGTCGGCGGCCCGGCTGGCAGGCCGACGGGCTCTCGGCGCAGCTGCAAATCGTTTTTGCCCGGCATCGAACGGCCAGAGAATTGCAAGTTTGTCATTGGCAACGTGCTGGCGATATGCGTGGATGGCGTGCTGGTATTTGCAGGATACTTTGTAACCGCGCTGCAAGTATCGTGCCTCGCTGCGTCGTTCCAATATTGAGTGGTCCAGCCTCTCGATAGCTTGCGCAACAGCTGGCCATCGGCCAATGCCATGGCATCCAAAGGCCCATTGTACTCCACTTAGGGGGTGATGGCCTGAAGGAGCGGTGTTAGCTCTGGCTGTGTTGGCGGCGGGCAAACAGCAAGCGGACTGTGAAGGCGGCGTGGCGGTGGTGAGCAGCCGCGCCGCCCGGGCCGACCTCGCAACGGTCCGTCGTCGCCGCCGAACCGTGGCTGGCGCCCCAGGCGAGTCGCCGGTGCCGGGGTCGAGCCGGTGCTCCGCGCTCCGCCGCCCGGGTCAGCCTTTGGCCCGGCGTCGGAGCGCTGCCGCCCGTTGTCGGCGTCCGCCGGCGGTGCCGCACGCGCCGTGGCCGGCCGGCCGGCGGCGGCTGTCAGACGGATCCGACCGCAGTTCGTCAACGGGCAGACCTGGCCCCCGTGGGGCCGAGGCACTCTCGTTTTTGCTGGGTGTGGAGAGCACGTAACTAGGGGCGGCGACCGCACTTTTTGGCTGTGGTGGCTTTGTCAGCTGTTGATATCTAGACTGGCTTGGGCTGAGTCAGGCTGGTTTCGGAGAAGGTGAGATGGCTGGTGGAATTAAGGTGTGTTAGAAGCTGGTTTACGGGCGCTTGCCGCCGTGTTTTTCAGTTGTGGTCGCATACTTCCTACAACTCCGTTCAGGTGGACGTGCAACAGCGTGACATGTGGGGTGCGTCCTGTACTTGGAATCCGTGCAGCCACGTTTTTTCATCGCCCTGGATGGGCGCAGGTAGCCTCTGTCCGACGCGCTGATCGAGACACTCCTCTGACGCCAGGCGTCGGCGTGTTTGTCGAGATCCCTTGTCGATACCGAGCGTGCGCGTCTGGCGACGTCGCGCTCGTCAGTGGCCGCGCCCGCCGGGCGCCGGCCGGCCGTCCGGCCCCGCCTGTCCGTGCGGCGTGCGGATGACCGGCGGCCAGCGACTTTCACCCGGGCAGCGGCGGCGCCGGCGAGACGGCGAGACGGCGCCGGCGCGGTGCCGTCCTCCCCTACCCGGCCGCTCCCACCGGCTGCTCACCGCCGGAAATGGCCCCTCCCGCCCCCTTTCCCCTCTTTCCTTTCCCGGTGCTGATGAATCTCTCCTCCTTTAGCCGCGAGCGATTTGGTCCGACTGTCACGCTGTCCTGCCGTGATCAGCTGATCGGCCCCCACTGATGGTTGGTCTGACTCACGCTGTCCTGCCATGATCAGCTGACATGCCCCCACTGATGGTTGGTCTGACTGTCACGCTGTCCTGCCATGATCAGCTGATATGCCCCCACTGATGGTTGGTCTGACTCACGCTGTCCTGCCATGATCAGCTGACATGCCCCCACTGATGGTTGGCCTGGCTGTCACGCTGTCCTGCCGTGATCAGCTGATAGGCCCCCACTGATGGTTGGTCTGACTGTCACGCTGTCCTGCCGTGATCAGCTGATAGGCCCCCACTGATGGTGGGTCTGACTGTCACGCTGTCCTGTCACGCGGTCGTGATTTCTAAACTGGTGCTGGCAGCTGCGCCACAGGACCACATCATCGTTGTGTTGTCGCGTCGACCGTCACTCGCCCGCACGTGTTCTGACCGTGTGCCCCTGCCCCGTGTTCCGTGACCCGTGCCGTGCCGTGCCGTGCCGTGCCGTGCCGTGCCGTGCCGTGCCGTGCCGTGCCGTGCCGTGCCATACTCTGACGGCGCCTCCTCGTCTTCCGCAGTCAATACGGTCCGATCAGTTCGGAGAGCCAGCTGCAGCGGTACAAGAGCGACTTCGAGAGCGGCTACCAGGAGTACCAGCGGCTCTGGGAGCTGGTGGGCAGCGTGTACCGCAAGTTCGCCGATCTCGAGCAGCAGCTGCGTGCCGCCGAGGAGGGCTCCGAGGAGTGGAAGGTACCGGCGCCGCACGGCCTGACACACGGACCCCGGTGACACTGACACCGACACCGCGCTGGCACCGCCGCCGGCACAGCATCACACCGTCACTCGGACGCCACCGTGCCCTGGCAGGCTCTCTGTGGCGTCCAGTGTGTGCGCGGAATCTGAGACGGCCGGCCGGCGCCGTACGATCGGAGCGTGCCGCTCCTGCCGCGGCTGCCGCCGTGCTGCTGTGTCTCTCCCCTCCGTGTGTGGCTGGAGTGGTGCGCCTCTGCAGGCGGAGACCGTGCCGACAGCCGTGCACTGACCCGGCTGATGAGCGTGACGCGCGGCTGAGGCGCCGGCCAAAGGCCGGATGTGGCGTGTTGACGGCAGGTGCCTGACCGGCGCTGAGATCGCCGACGGACGCCGCCCGGTGGCGTCTGTGACATTGTGGCTCGGATGCCAATGATGCCGGGTGTGACATCAGACGTCGACGGCAGATTGAAGCTTGTGGCGGGCTCGTGTCACTGGTGTGTGTTGGGTTTCCTTTGTGGTTGCTGTTTATGTATGCTTCGGTACCATCCCCGGTCGCCTTTACCAGGCCGGCTATTGTGCGTTGCGTGTGGCATTCCTCACGTCTTTGAACCCGGGTAGATATGCTGTTTGCCAGCCCGGTCTATTGTCTGTTATTCGGCGGTGTGTTGTGTTCACCGCTTTCAGAGTTGTCCGGTTGTGATGGCCCGGGCGCTGTCAGAGTTGCCCAGCCCAGCCGCAGCACGCGTCATGTGGTGCGGACGGCGGTCCCGCACGGCTGCCGTCCCCGTGTTTGGCGCCGTGTGGACGCAGTCGGCCTGCCGCGCGCTGCGTCGTGGTGTTTGTGCGGCCCAGGTGTCTCGCCGCACGTGCTGGTCCACCTGGCTTTGGCGCGCGGCGGGCGCGCGCGAAGCTGTGCGTATGCCGGGGAGATTATCCGGGCCGCCCTCGCTCTGACGCGCCCTCCCCTTCCTCCGCAGGGCATCGAGAGGAAAATCCGCGACGAGTACGAGTCGTGCAACAACGAGGAGTACCGGTCGGCGCGACGACGCTGGTCCTACCTGCAGAACAAGCTGCAGTACGTCAAGTCGCTGGTACGGCAGTGGCAGACTGACCGGTAGTATCGGGGCGAGGGGACGGGGACGTCGGCCGGGCGGCCCGGGCCCGGCCGCCTGCCGCTGTACATAGACAGATGTAGCTTTATGGAAATGGCCGGCCCGTTGTATGTGGTCGAGGGTGCCGGGCTGGCCGGCCGGCAGGCAGCGCCCCGGAGGAGGTCCGGGGCGGGTCGGCCGGCCGGCCGCGCCGCGCGCGCCGCCGCCGCTGGGCGTCGCGTGCGCCCTTTTGTATCCGATGATGCCACTAACGAAGATCTTAACACTGAGATACGACATCGCCCTGTGCCTGCCATCGCGCGCGACGCAGGACGCTGACGGACTGGGGCGGCCCGCTGAGTTCCTACGCCGGCCCGGCGCCGCCGCCGGCGCCGGCAGACCGCTGACTGACACCCGGTGACGGACGCCGACCGACGCCCTGTGGCCAGCCGGCGCCGCCGCCGCCCCGGCCCGGCCCGCCGGCGCGCCTGTGTGATACGCGCTCGCCGCTCCGAGCTTTCAGCTGATCCGCGCGACGAGAGGTCAAATCAAAACCGGGGCTGGGGGACGGCGGCGCGCCGGGCAGGGCTCCGGCGACGCCCTCTTTCCGGGTACGTGCTGCTAGCTGTAGGTACTTACGGGTGTTATCTTTTGTATGTTTTGCTCAAGTCCCTGGACGGCCGGCGCCGCTCGCGGCTGGTCGGGGACGGCTTCGTCCGCGCGCGCGCGCGCGCGCGCCTGTGTTCGTTCGCCAGTGCTTCTCCCGGTCTGCGGGCGGCGCCCGGCATTCGTTGGGGGGCGGCTGGCCTCTGACCTGGATCGGCGGGCGGAGGGCGGCCGCCGCCCGGCCCGCGCCCCCGCAGTCTGCCTTTAGTCACTCCAGCTCCTAGTCTGTCTAGTCGCCGGGCGGGCGGGCCCGGTAGCTACCGATCCCCACTGGAGAGCTCAACTGACGGCACCAGCCGAGCCGCGCGGCCCGGCCCGGCCGACGGCCAGCATTAGTCCCCCGCCCCCGCCCCCGCCCCCGCCCCTGCCGGCGGGCTTCCGTCTTCCTCGGGCTGCGTGGGGCACGTCTCGGCGGGCTGGCCGGGTCTCCCGTGTGCGTGCGTGGGTGCGTGCGTGCGCGTGTGTTTGTGGGGTGGGGCTTGGGAGGTGCGCTGGTTCCTGTGAGCGGCGCGGTGCCACGCGCCGGTCCGCCGCGCTGAGTCGGACGCAGAGTGATACGGGGCCGAGCGGATCGAGCCCGCGTCGACGCCGGGGAAGGCCCCAGGCCGGCACGGTTGTGAACAGGTTCCCAGCCCTCTCTCGTCCACTTAAACACTATGAATATCTGCTTGTTGTTTTTCATATCAATAAATTTGCATACTCGTTAGTGGAGTTTTGTTTGTCGTCCTGCTACTGCTGTGCACGTCTCACGCCTCCCGTCTGGTACCCAGTCGCTGTGCCGGGCAGCCCGCCAAAACGCCGCTAGCTGGGGGCGCCGCTGGGCTTCCGTAGGTCGGACAAACGGGCCGAATTTTCAAGAAAAGTACAAAAACACGGTGGCGTCCCATCTGTTGACATTCTCTCGGGAGAGGCTGGCCACAGCTGACCAACAGTCGACCGCCGATCTGACCTGACCTGACCCGACCTGACCTGACCTGACCTGACCCGACCCGACCGGACCGGACCGTGACGCCGGCCCGCCCGCGGCCCGTATTGTGATAACCCCTGTCGACCCGGACCGGATCCAGACCAGCCGTGTCTCACGTATTTTATCTGTATTATACGTATTTCTCCTCTATCCGTGTTGCGGCGTGTGTCGAGTAGCCAAATTGTGGAGCCAATGTGACCGAGAGTTTAGTCTAATTTATCAGAGACGTGTAGTTGCCGCGTCACCGACGGAGCGCGATATGGTAAAAAATCATAAAAACAGCTATGTCTGTTGGTGGTGTAGCGCACGCCCGGGGAATTGGTGTTGAGCGGCGTGCGTGTGTGTGCCGGTGCTGCGTGCGGTGGTGGAGGCGCGCGTGTATTCCACGGGCGGGCTCTGTCCGGCCGGCCGGACCGCCTCTGCGCGTCCTCTCGATTCCAGTGCCATGACTGTATACCTATAGAGCGAGGGGTCGGCGCCCGACGCCGCGCCCGCGCGGCGCCGCGCGGGCGCCGCCCCGCCCCAGGGCTTGTAGTGGAGGCATTAGCGACGGGGCTGGCCACCGCGGGCAGCCGCCGCCGCCGTCGCCGCCGTGGTTGGGACACGGCGGCGGCGGGCCGGCGGCGCGTCCGGCCGCCACCAGGCCACACTATGCAACAGCTGTGTCAGCGCCGCCAGCTTGATCCGGCGCTTCCGCGCCGAGCCGCGGCGAGCGTTATGCAAAGTCGCAGCCACTCCGATTGTCTTTCCGAGGACGGGCGAGCGGGCCACGCGGCGGGGCCGACGCGCCGGTCGGCCGGCCGGCTGCGTCGGGCTTCCCCGTGACGCGCGTCGCCCGGTCAAAAGTCTGTGAACGCGTCGGCCCGGTGGCGGCGTCTGCCGACGGCCGGCGGCGCAAGCTGAAGTGCGCGCCGGCGTCGACAGGGGGCGCCACGGCCGACTCCGGTCCGCCGGCTGGTGTGAGCGGCCGCGGCCGCCGGACAGCAGCGCCCCTGTGAGAGAGACCGCGGCGTCTGATCCGCCCTGTGTGTGATGCAAACATTCTACAAATAAAACTTGTGTATTGCATGGACACGCCGTTTGTCGGTCACGTCTCGAGTGTCTGTCCACTCAGGCCGGGCGGGAGGCGCCCGCACGTTGAGCGGGCGTGCTGAGGTGCCGGTCAGGTGCCGCTGTCGTGCCGTCCGTCGGGTCGGCGGTGAGCTCGAGGAGGCCTAAGCCGTGCTGCTCGCGACATCTACATTTTGTTGAGGTGTGCCGTAATGCTTGAAAATGCTTGAGCGGCAGCTGTGAAACTAAAAACGTTGCCAAGCTGACGCGGCTTGACCTGCCGTCGATTGGATTCGGTTTGGGTCGGTAGAGAGGCCGTCGGCCGGTTCCTGGCCGAAGACTGACTTGCAGTTATGCTCTCATTGTTAAGGCCGCATCACACAACGGACGACTTTCGGGGTGATTGGTCATATCAACAGCCCGCTTCGTCACTTTTTGGTCACTGGCTGCCTGGAGGGCGTTTTGGGGTCTCGCGGCTGCTCAATCCCAATGCATTTAAGAGTTAGGCAGGTCAAGATGCAACGATGCTATTTTCCACGCACACATTCTCAAGCGGCATGGTTTGCCAGTTCGCTGGCTGTCAGTTCATCTTTCAATACTATAAAACGCCCCCTCCCCTTAAAAAGCGGGCGGATTCATAATGCGCGCGCAATAGTGAGCTTGCACGACTTTCACCTTTGCCGCAACAATTCTTCGTGTTTCTGCCGTCAGCATTAATCCTTGCCTTAATTCGCACCTTTTTGTAGCGCGGACTGATAGCTGGAGTCGATGCGCCGACGTTTTGCCTTTCCAGGTCAATAATTAACCCCTTTATGCCGGTGTAAAGGTCAATTTTGCATGAGAATTGCGCTGTTTCAGCTTTGCGTTCCATCATGTACGGAACCAAGCCGCTCGGTGGGATAAACTTGGACAGTCGTGTTCCTTGTTGAATTCGCAGTGCAATGGTGTATACTTGCTTGTGTTGAGCACACGGTGATGATGCAGGACCGCCGCGGCGTCGGCCCGTCGTGCGTCAGCGGATTCGTCGGTCGCCGCTCGTGCCGACCGTGGATGGTCGTGCGCGAGCCTAACAAGCCGTTGGTATTCAGAAGAAGAAGCGCTAGAAACGCGTTTATGGTGTCGAAACACGCGCAATGAATTCCTCATGGGCTACCGGACTGTGGGGCGCGACAACATGGCTTGCTGGGGAGATACTCGAAGGAAACCTCACGAAAGGGGGGGGGGGGGGTGGGGGTCGCATCGACCCCTCCCCAACCATCAGGGCGAGAATCAATGTGTCGCTGCGGCGCTTAGCCGCCGTGATCTGGACTTGTTTCCGGTCCGTGCGCCTTAGCTTTTTCGAGGTCGCAAATCGTACATTTCTCATGGTAATTGAAAGGGGTGGTGAAATGATCGTGACATTGCAGCCTGTCAGAAGTGCGTCACGTGATGAATGACGCAATATAAGTTGCATTTGAATGTCTTGAACACGCGTTGGGCGACCTTTAAAAAACTTGCGCTACTCTTCAGCAGAGTGAAAATTGTGCTGCTGAGAATTCCACAAGACCTGAAATTCCACAGGATTCGTCAGGATCTGAACAGCGGTGAGGGTCTGAGCAGTCGTCAGGATCTGAGCCGCCGTCAGGGTCTGAGCCGCCGTCAGGATCTGAGCAGTCGTCAGGATCTGAGCAGTCGTCAGGAGTCTGAGCAGTCGTCAGGATCTGAGCAGTCGTCAGGGTCTGAGCAGTCGTCAGGATCTGAGCCTCCGTCAGGGTCTGAGCGGTCGTCAGGGTCTGAGCCTTCGTCAGGATCTGAGCAGTCGTCAGGGTCTGAGCCGCCGTCAGGATCTGAGCAGTCGTCAGGATCTGAGCGGTCGTCAGGGTCTGAGCCTTCGTCAGGATCTGAGCAGTCGTCAGGGTCTGAGCCGCCGTCAGGATCTGAGCAGTCGTCAGGATCTGAGCAGTCGTCAGGATCTGAGCCTCCGTCAGGGTCTGAGCGGTCGTCAGGGTCTGAGCCTTCGTCAGGATCTGAGCAGTCGTCAGGATCTGAACAGTCGTCAGGGTCTGAGCCGCCGTCAGGGTCTGAGCAATCGTCAGGGTCTGAGCCGCCGTCAGGGTCTGAGCAGTCGTCAGGGTCTGAGCCTTCGTCAGGATCTGAGCCTTCGTCAGGATCTGAGCCGCCGTCAGGGTCTGAGCAATCGTCAGGGTCTGAGCCGCCGTCAGGGTCTGAGCCTTCGTCAGGATCTGAGCCTTCGTCAGGATCTGAGCAGTCGTCAGGGTCTGAGCCGCCGTCAGGATCTGAGCAGTCGTCAGGATCTGAACAGTCGTCAGGGTCTGAGCCGCCGTCAGGGTCTGAGCAATCGTCAGGGTCTGAGCCTTCGTCAGGATCTGAGCCTTCGTCAGGATCTGAGCAGTCGTCAGGGTCTGAGCCGCCTTCAGGATCTGAGCAGTCGTCAGGATCTGAGCAGTCGTCAGGATCTGAACAGTCGTCAGGGTCTGAGCCGCCGTCAGGGTCTGAGCAGTCGTCAGGATCTGAGCAGTCGGGGGCATGTACACCACGAACCACGTCTGAAATCACCTCGTTCCTCCGCCCCTTGATTGGTCATCGTTTCGGGCGGGCTGCGATGCAAAGGCGCCGACTGGCTGCTCCAAACACGGCACGCAGTTCTAGCGCAGTTTCGTCTTCCTTTATTTCATTCTGTTACAGGCAGGCATGTTCCGCTCCAAAAGCAGAGCCGGTGCGATCGGTGGAGCCCGTTTGCTTGCAGATCCTGCACTCGTCACTCCGCTCAGATACTCGCTGTCCAGCTGGTGGCCCTGAACCGGCCGCGCTACAGCCTCAAGTCGCTCCAAATCCTGGCCCCGGCACAGCGCCGAGCACGCCGCCGTGCCGCGAACACGACCAACCGTTAGTAGATGCAATTTATAAGCATTTCTACCCAGTCAACATGTCAAACGCCCAGCTCGAAAAATAACACCGAACTCGGTACACATACGAATATGGCACAAATTAGTGACAATAAGGTACACACACCACTCGGACCCGCACTTAAGAGGGCGCCGTCGGGCCCTCAATCTAGGCGCAAGCCTTACACGCGTGGATAGAACATACGGTAATAACGGTACACTGACGGGCGCAGTGGGCGCCAACACTGTCTTAATGCTGCTGGACTGGAAGACCTAACACGGCGTTGAAGCGCAGGAACTAAAGCCGGGACGGGCTGGGTGGCTGCCTGGCGACGCGCCCCCAGACGCGCTCTCCGGTCAAAGCTGACGCCCGGGGCGCGAGGGCTGAGCGCCCGGCCTCGGACGCGAGCGACCGTGCTGCCACACGGCCGCCGGTGTCGGAACTAAGCCTGTATGTACACGAAACAACAGCGGAGACGCCGCCTCATCCGAGTGAGGAAAGCCGCGGCGCCGCGACGGGAGTCGGGCCGCGGCGCGCCGCTCCATAAATACGGGTGGGTGAGAGTCGGTATCACGTGGGCGGCTCTGAGTCGCCCGTCGGGCCGGGCGGGGAGCCGTCAGCTGCGGGTGGCGGGGCCGCCCGGGCCGCTCGGGCCGCCCGGCCGGCCGCCTCAGCCGGCGGCCAGCAGCAGCGCCGCTGCTGAGATCAGACAGAGCGCCAGGCCGGTGCCGGCGGCGGGCGGCCGACCGGCGGCCCCCGCGTCTCAGCCGACGTCCCGGCACGTGCGGCAGCAGTCGCTCCTGATCCGCTGCATCGAGCAGAGCGTCAGCTGGCGCGCGCGCGAGCAGTAGTTGGCGCGGTCCCGGCAGCCGGCTCCTGAGGGGCAAGTGGCGCGTGAGCCCGGCCCCGGCGTCGCCGCCAAGCGGCTCCGGCCGAATGCGCGCACCCGTTGGTCGCGTTTCATCACAAGGACAGTACCGCTTTGCGCAGCACAAACGAGGAGTCGGGGGCATGATCCCGACCCGCCTCCCACTAAACACGGCTGGTCTTGGCGAGCTTACTACAACATTCTGAAGGTGCTGCATGCAAACTGAAGGGCAAGTGTTTGCCGAAACAAGCCTAACACGCTATTATTGGTGGGACTATCAGTGCTGTACTACCGGTGGGCGGGGCACGTACCATCAACGGCCTCGTCATGCGACAGATCGGGTGAAATCTCTTCTGAAGACGTTTGCACTGGAAAACAGACGGTCCGTTTAGCAGGCACGAGACAGTACAGCAGGGCAGGGGTGCGGGAAGGTGCGTGCTCTTCTGTTGATCTCGGAACGTACGCGGCACGGATGCTGTCCAGCCCGCACAGGCTAGAGACGGCAAACAAGGTGGATGGAGCTCGAAGGGTGAGAGGGCTGGCCAAACAGACGGCAGTCGGTGCGGGCACGGACACCACGCGTGCATGCCAGACCGGGGACAGAGCGGTGACGACCTCGAGGACCGAGGGTTCAAGCCTGACCCGCCGCCAGTGACGGCCCGCCCGCTCCAGCACAGACCGATAGCCATCACCGACGGCGGGCGCCAAGCAACACCAGACCGCCAGCTCAGAGCCGACGGCGGAACGGCCGGCAAGCACTACGGTGGCGCCGCCCTGGCGGCCGGCGGCGGCACTCACGCGGCGGGCAGGGCGCTCCGAGGCAGGGCTTGACGACGGTGGGGCGCGGCTGGTCGCGGCACGTGTTGCCAGCCGGCCGGCGCGTGCCGTACCAGACGCAGCGTAGGATGCGGGACTGATAGCCGGCGCGGCCGCACTGGGCCGAGCAGGCCGACCAGGGCTCGACGCGCCACGAGCCCTTGCACATGTCGTTGTAGCACTCCTGGCGAGAGGCCGGCCGCTGGTGGCGGTCGCACAGCGAGCTCTCCACCGTCGTGCCGTTCGGAAGCCGGCAGCTGACCTTGCGTCGCTGCATGGCTGTAGGCAGGCAGGCAGGGAGGTTTGCAGGGCAGGCGCGCGCTCCCAACATCCCATCAGTCCGCTCGGCACCACTAAGGTGCCTTAACTGACAGACTGCAGTGAACCAAAAACATCAAACAAAACAAGCATACACAAAAGAACCGAAATGTGCCTCTGAAATGCCAAGACGCACGTTCGAAAAAGCGGGCTGGTAGTATGCGAGACTCCTTTTTATGTTTGTCACGGTTTTATCTAACAGACGTTCGCCTTGCATTGGCACGAGTCAGATACCAGACAAAATCCCAGTAAGAATGTTATAAGCGACAACCGGCAAAACCCCTCACACCGCTGTGCTCCACCCGGGCAGCTCATGCTGAACCGCCTCCCCCTCCTCCCCCTCACACCGCTGTGCTCCACCCGGGCAGCTCATGCTGAATCGCCTCCCCTCCTCCCCCTCACACCGCTGTGCTCCACCCGGGCAGCTCATGCTGAACCGCCTCCCCTCCTCCCCCTCACACCGCTGTGCTCCACCCGGGCAGCTTATGCCGAACCGCCTCCCCTCCTCCCCCTCACGCCGCTGTGCTCCGCCTATCGCCGCGTACCGTAGTTCCACTGGACGCAGCGGGCGCGGCGGCACGGCCGCCAGGTGTGGGCGTGCCACACGGGGCACAGCATCTGGCCGCAGGGCCGCACAGCCACCGGACTGGCCAGACCGGCATCGTGACAGAGCGGCGCCGCCACCAGCCGGGTGGTGTTCCGCACGCGCACCAGGCACTGGGTGGCCCGCAGCTCGAAGCCCTGGCCGCCGCAGGTTTGCGAGCACGGCGACCAGTCCGTGATGAGCCACTCGAACCGCACGTCCGACCTGTCACCTGCCGGCGCCGGAGGGCACGGCCCGGGTCAGGGGCGGGCCATCGGCTGGCTGAGGTGTCGGGAGGGATTGTGCCGGCTGGGGTGTCAGGGGGAGGGGGCATTTGTCGGCTGGTGTATCAGGAGGGGTCATGTGTCGGCTGGGGTGTCAGGGGGCATGTGTCAGCTGGTGTATCAGGAGGGGTCATGTGTCGGCTGGGGTGTCAGGAGGGGGCATGTGTCAGCTGGTGTATCAGGAGGGGTCGTGTGTCGGCTGGGGTGTCAGGGGGGGGGGCATGTGTCAGCTGGTGTATCAGGAGGGGTCATGTGTCGGCTGGACGGAATCCTGTTACAGCACTGATGCTCAGTGTGTCAGGAACACAGGATCGGGAGAGAACGGTATGCAAGCAGAAATCAGGCTAAGACGGTCGTTCGAATCAATCATAATTGGTCACGATGCCTACAATGGCTGTTCATTAAGTTTCTTTGGTTGTGAAGCCGGCCAAAAGTGGAGCGATAATATTTATGAAACATTTCCCGTGGGAAGGCAAAGCTGATGCTTCGGTGATACACAAACTCGTTACTGATACATTACACGCTTAATGGACACATGCATGCCACCTAGCGACGGTAGGGTTCCAGGAGCAGACCGCACCTTTCCCAGCATCTCCACCTGCGTGCCGCTCCCGTAGCCCAGCCGACCCTCCGATCCAGAGGCCGACGCCGGCGCCGACTCCGTCTCGGACTCCGGCTCGCTGTTGCGGTCCTCCTCGGCTGATGGGGCCTCCGTGTCGGCCGCGGACACTGTGGGCGGCCCCGACACTGGTGGTGTGCGGCCGGCAGCAGTGGCGCCGCCCTCAGCTGACTCCGCGGCGGCGGTGGCGGAGGCGGTGCTGGTGGTGGGGGCTCGGGTGCTGGTGGTGGTCGAGGTGGTTGTGGTGGTGGTGGTGGTGGTGCGGCCGAAGCGCGAGCGAAACCGTCCGCGGTTGTCGCCCAGCACGATGCCCTGAAACAGCGGGACAGACGTGCGATTATGGCGCACTCTCGGTCGGCTGGGGGGGGGGGGGGGGGGGGGGGGCGACTCCCTTAGGTGGCGGCGCGACTCCCTGAAACTCGGAAACGCTCGGAACCTACGGCCATCAGAGCCTAGTACCAGTGCCGCTGGCCGGTGAACGTGGTGTGCGGGATGGCGGCATCAGAGACGATTTGGGTCAAGGGGCGTTAATGCTTCCTCTTCGGATGGCCCAACATTGGTAGTTTTGCGCAACCCTTTGCAAAGGAAAAGAAGGAGGTAAAAACAAATAGAAAAGATATGATGGTAGCCTAGAATATACGTTTAGGTGGACCCCAGCAATGGCTCTACTTTCTTCGAATGCACCCAGCGTCACGTTAGGTGTTTTTAGCAGTACGGAATGCATAATGACAGCTCGCCCTCATCACACCGCACTAAACAGAGAAGGCGCGTTAAATTCACCATTGAATCATAAAACATGCGCCATGTCCACGTGCCCGACACAGGACATTGTTCGCGTTCACAACAGATGGACATTGCGCATGGAATACTCGCAAGCACTTTGCAACCTACATGTTGTTATTTAAACTATGCGTGATATGTTTCCCCAGAAGTATTCCTGCGGAGAGCGGGGCGTGCTGCCACTGTCAACAGCGGTCTTTTTGCACCGTCCCCGCAGCCCTCTAAACAGCGAGTCACCTTCCACCACATCCAGCATTGTGCTTACGTGATTGAAACACGTCTAGAGCATGCGGTGCAAACAAAGCGTGGCTCTACTCCACATGGCTTCCGCGGCTGGCCGCGGCCTGGGCGGAGGCGCTGGCTGCGCCGCGGCTCGGAGCTCGGGCGGGGGCGCTGGCGGCGCCACGGCTCGGAGCTCGGGCCTCCCGCTCAGGGCGCTACTTGCGCTAGCTCGGCTCTCTGTGCGCTAGCTCGGCTCTCTGTGCGCTAGCTCGGCTCTCTGTGCGCGCTTGAAGCCCATGCCTGCCTGAGAGCCCTGCCCCGTCGGCCCCTGTGTATTATTTGTAAAGCCTACACCAACAGCTCGTGCGGGTGAGTGGAGCTGCCGATCTCCGGGGAGAGCAGCCGACCAACTGCCGAAGGACGGGCCAAGAACATTCTCATCCAGCGCGTCTCATTCCAGAGGCAGGGAACAGTCGGGTACCAAATACATGCACAATCGGTGCAAAGGCGTTGAGTCCAAATGCGGCGGAGAGGGGCCTGGGCAAGAACGGGTGAAAACACGAGTCGGTCGAACGCACCAATCGAACACGCGAAATTCCTGTCAAGAACTGACTCGTCGCTTGACAAACCTTGTGATTACCCGGCGGGGCAACATCAGAGGTCAAGTGCATGCAAGTGTGGGCCGGCCGGATTACTGACCCTAAACGTGTTTTAGTTTAGGCGCGCGCGCGCGCGCACGAGGAGAGAGAGAGAGAGAGAGAGAGAGAGAGAGAGAGAGAGAGAGAGAGAGGGAGAGAGAGAGAGAGAGAGAGAGAGAGAGAGAGAGAGAGAGAGAGAGGGAGGGGGGGGGGGAGGAGGAGAGAGAGGGGGGGGGGGGGGAGAGAGAGAGAGAGTTTGTTAGTTCACAGCGTCTCTGCTCATAGAACGCCGGAGCCAATATGAAATACTGCTTAAGTAGGGAACGGGTCAAGGTAGCAGCCACTTTCCCAATCCCCAGTTCATGTATATATACCACTAGATCCTGATGCATAAACCAGCCACAGATGAAGGATCCATAGGTCTGGCAAGTCTCCAATGCTCTTGGAGAGGGCATTCATGACGAAGTTTTGTGCCCGATTTTGCCTCCGAAACAAGTGAATAATACAGAAGCTTAAGTTGATAAAAAGAACCTACCTTCTGCGAATTCCACGAGCACAGTGGTCGAAATCTGATGACCGGATTTTGGCTAAGCGTTAGCCATTTCTGGGACTGTGAGTCAACTAACAACAGGGGTATGTTTGCGCCTATATCATTCCTATGTACAAATGAACCTCTACCTGAACACTACTTGAAACAACTATCATACTTTGCCTCAGACTTATCTGAAAATTCCATTTCTCATTTGATGTTTTTAATCTGCCTTACATTCTATCAGAATCGATTGTTCTGCCTGCGGCCTGGGCGGACTGCGCCACTATTGTCGCCGCCGTCTAAGTGTCGCTGCCTCAGGGGTCGTGTGACGCGGCCGGCCCCTCGGCCTACTGTGCGCCCCGCCGCCTGTGCTGCCAACCGGGCTGGGTGCGGGCCGCCGGGTACAAAACATCGCATGCCGGGGAACAGAGAGCACCACCTACCTTGAGACCTGACACAAGGCGCTGAAAATGCGGCTCGAGCCGGGCGGCCGACGACGCGACCGGACCCCTGACCTTGAGTTCAAGGTCACGTGAGGTCGTCTGTCCCCGCTGCACGGCGGAACGAGATGCAAACGTGTTTGAGCCTTGGTCTCCGTGCAGTAACCATGACAAAGGGCAAATAGATCACAGGAACTGGAAATGTGCACTTGGTACTGATGCTGAGTATAAGTGGAACGCGATTTCATCTTTTGTTGACATTTCATGACTAGTAGCCAATGGAGGGTCGCCAACAGCCGAAGGAACGTCATAACCCACGCCAGAAAGCATGTCCATGACAAATTACTGCGAGAAAAACACTAACGGAATACTGAGAATAGCGCTTGCAGAAAACAATGATACGGAGCGACTCCCGAAAAGCACCAGGCAAGAAAGACCACCTTCCATGGTCCCCGAGGAGCCGGGCGGACGCAGCATCCGTCTGTCGGACAGTGTTGGCATGCCTGTCACCTACGCCAGGCCAGCTGCCTATCCGGTCCGCGCCTGCTGGTCCGCTAGCATGCTCACCAGGCAGGGGACAGCGCCAGCTCATCACTGCTGGAGAGGTCCACAGGACAGCGCGGCGGCGGCGGCTCGTCGATGGACGACCCTCCCCCCTCCTCCAACCACCCCGCGCTGACCTTTGGCTGGTCCACGTCCGTGCGCTGCTGGTCGGCCGGGAAGTTGATCTGCAGGTCGCGCAGTGAGTTGGAGGGGTCGCCGTCCGGCGGCGCCACCTGCGGCAGTTGGCGGCCCGGTCGGGTTAAGTCCCCTCGGGAGACGGACCAACACGTATCACTGGAGAGCCCCGCCAAACACCAGCCATGCACGGCAGAATCGTGGGAAGAATTCGCACCACACGACTGAAGCTTGATTTTCCAGAAATATACGGATTTATGTCGAGCTTAAGCTGTTGTTTCAATCAGCGTCGCACAATTGAAACCGAAAGACTGACACCGCTCCGGCGATTTCAAGCTGGAGCAAGTTAATTCCCTGGTATATAGAGTCACCCTTTGAGCTATGCAGAGCTGTGTTGCAGCCTTGGCCACCCGTAGGCCCATACGCGGCCTGCGGCCTGACACGTGCCAGCGATCGGGGTGCCACCTACCGGACCCGGCCGGTACTGCTGAGACTGCGTGTCGTCGATGGTATTGGACAGCTCCTTCTGGTTGTTTTTCCCGTTTTTGGTACGTGATCGCTCCGTAGAGGCGGCCTCTGCGGAAATAGAGACGCCGGTGTCAGCTTTATTGTTTATCTGTCTGGCCTCGATGCGATATACCGCCAGCTGCACGATTTAATCCACCAACGCGCAGAAGGGACGGCAACAACGTCGGGGCAGGTATCGGGAGAGGACAGACGAGGCGCCAGGTTTCGTACGGTGGGAGCGGCCGGCCACGCCGGCCGGCCCACCAACAGCCCCGTGCGCGCCGGCGGTACGGCCAGCATGCTGCCGGATCACCAACTTGAGACAATTAGAGGCGGCCAGCGCCGGCCACCGCCGCAGACAAGCGCGTCCGGTCGGCAACTTTTCCAATAGCCGGTGGCGGCCGGCCGCGGTCGGGGCCGCGCGGCCGGCAGAGCGGGACGCCCTCGGTGCACAAGTTGGCAGGTGATGCGTGTGCGGGGCCTACACGTGCGGCCGCCGCCGGACCCGCCGCTCGGAACGACAGCCACTAATCCGGCGCCGTCAGCGGAGGAGTGCCGACGCGGCGGGGCCAGCGGCCGCGGCGCTCCGTGTCAGGGCATGGTGGCGACGCCACAGCCCGGCCACGGCCGATTCGCCCTGAGGTGCCTCGGATCGGGGCGAAGAATGCCTACAACGCCGCCCTAATTCTGGCTAAGCCCTTCAGGTGCTACTTGACGTTGTTCGCGTGCGGTTCGTCGGTATAATATATTCGCTCGTCTGTGATAGATGCACTCGCTGATGATATATGCCTGTGAGATGGTGCAGTTCTTGGGAAACAAACCATGCTAATTATTCAATTGAAGCAAAATCGTCTCCTTAAAATAATGACGGGCATTAATCGTTAGGCAAGATGTATTTCTAAGGGATCTTCGATGGCGAACCTTTCTGATTTCTGGACTCTGTGAGCAAGGTCCATGACCGTAAGCTCATTCAAAATACATCTTACCTAACGACTAACACGCCTACAATGATTGCAAGCTGGTCATTTCAATTCATTTGCATGGTATATGCCTCACAACGGCCTTTTGCCCGCCCTGATGCCATTTTCCAAGAGAAGTTAATCATGTTATTTTATCGGAATTCAGCTTTCCACAATTTCTACGAGGTTAAAGTATCTTATTCTAGGGAGAGTGTGATGGCAAACCTGAAGACCTTTTTCGTGCATTGAGCAAGCGTGACAAACCAGACCCGAGCGTCACGACCGCCCCACCCCCGCACGTGACAAACCAGACCCGAGCGACCGCCCCACTCCCGCACGTGACAAACCCGACCCGAGCGTCACGAGCGCTCCACTCCCGCACGCTCACCGGCCTTCTGCTTCCGACGGCGCTGCTTCCTTCTGAGACGCTCCTCGCGCTGCTTCTTCTTGCGCTGCTTGCGGAGGCGGCGCTCGGTGATCCAGGGCAGCTCGCCGATCGGACTCGGCCTGATCGAGAGCTCCAGCGAGGCCATGGCGCTGCCGGCTGGAACGGAGAGCGGCACGGCGTCAGCCGACCGGGCCGGCTCGCTCCACCCGCCGCCCGGGCGGGTTACACGGGATTCAGGTCGAGCCGCCGCCCTGCCGTCGGCTCGACCGCCAGCGTGGGGTTCGGTCCGCCAGAGATCGGCCAGCGCCCGGCCGATTCGAGCACCGGCACTCCTGACATCACAGCGAGTCGCTGTCATTGCATGTCCTCGCGAGGACGTCATTGGATGTCCTCGCGAGGACACAGCCGGCGTGGGGAGCACAGGGGCTCTACGACTGCCAGGGCGTACCAACGCCAGCAAGGCAAGACTGTCAGGACGTAACAATGCCAACAAGACACGACTGCCAGGACGTACTGATGCCAACAGGACACGACGACCCACAAATCAACACGCTAACGTCATGCGACATTTCTGGCGTCTGACCGTGAATAAATGTGACGCATCTACCGCACGTTCCCAATGCAACGCAACGCCCGGGACGTGCCTGCTGGCTGGGGCAGGAGACTTTGACCCGACGCCACCCGCTGACGTTTCAACGTACCGATGCAGGTGTAACGGCCGGCATCCCTGAATTCCACCTGACGCCCGCTGACGTCACAACGTACCGATGCAGGTGTAACGGCCGGCATCCCTGAATTCCACCTGACGTACGTTGACCTGGCCGTTGGCCTTCAGGCGGTACTTTCGCCCGCCGGCCAGCCGACTGCCGTCCTTGGTCCAAACGATCTTGCTCCTGTGGACGGGCGCCAGATGCGGTGAGTGAGCCCTTCAACGGCTTAGTCCACTCTGTCTTACTTCTGCGGCTGGGGAGCGGGTGGTAAAGTCTCTAACTAGGAGTGTTTTTTCTCAAAATAAATTAAAGGGGAGTAATAAACCGTGAAAAAATGACGAAACATTCCCAAAATTACCCCAGCAAACAAGCTTCTCCCGGGCCCAAGTTAGGGGGGAGAGGAGCTGGACTTGGAGCTTCCACAAACCTGCAAAGGGAAGAACAGCCCTGCCTCCAACAGTCTGGCCACGCAAATTTATTCACATGGACCAGCGGACCTACACGCATACGATACAGTCTGGTCCAGTTTGTGGCCCGGTTCGCGGTCTTACTTCCAAGAGGACTAGTAACAGTGGAGTGGTTCGACTAACTACAACGGTTCTCAACGAATAAGATTTTACTCCTGCGAACGGGGGGGGGGGGGGGGGAGGCTCAGCAGAGTTCCACATGGTTTAGAGTATCGTTGTCATCGGATTTTTTTTCAAACATCACTTATGCAGCGAAAAAAAACCGCACGGAAACATCATCTTGAACTCAAATTCCAGACGCCTGAACTCCTCATGTATCGTAACTATGCGTAGGCAACTACGCTTACGCAACTACGGTTCACCTGATCTAACGACGATAACATGGGAAACTGAACTTCTGATATGACCAACGTGTTTTGCGTGGCATGCCTACAAAACAGATGTCTGTACATGTCGCGAAATCATTTTATTGCGAAGGCGCTGGTTCAGTATCAGAGGCCCAGCCTCATCGAGCGGTGCCGCGCGGTCCGGCCCCGCGCGGCCGCCCGCCAGCCGGGGAACTTCAAACATAGCTCAGCGCGGGCGCAGGCGGGCGGAACGGGCTCCGCCAGAGAGGCTTGTTTGGTCTTTCCTTTCCGCTAATTGTTTGTACCGGAGCGACAGCGGCGGAATAAATGAACGCAAAAGCTGAATCGCTTCGTACAGACTCCGTCCCGTGGGTAGCGTATAACAAAGCGGCCGCTCTCAAACAAATCATAATGCTTATATAACGTGAGTTATTATTAATGTTCACGACTACCCTCTTTGATAGCAGCAAGGCAAATAATCTACTACATGCTTAGCTTTGGTACGTTGAACAAACTGACCGACAAATACGTTATTTCCTACGTCCTGCTTTTTAGTCGCAATGTGAAATAAGGTTAAAAATACAGGTATCGATACCGTCAACAACCATTCCTCTGCTGAGAATTCGGTACAAAGGGCCGGATTAAAATTAACAAAGGTATGAACAAAACAACGGCAACAGCTTTCGGACGTAGTATTCACCAGTCCAGCCGAGATATCGTTAAAGGGAGTGTTCCATATTCGCGTATTTTCAAACTGGAATAGCCATCTTAAAGATAACTCGGTACGCTTCATAGCCATCCCCTTCTTAAGGGGTACACCGCTCTAGTTTCTCAGCTACACGCCTGCGGAGATGTGTAGACTTTTCGGGAAGACCTTGTCAAGGTCACCCAGGCGCCCATTACGCCATAATAACGTCGTTGAAATCCTGCCATATCATCAGCCATGCGGCAATCAAAGCCCAAAAACTGCATTTGTCGAGTAGTTCATATCTCGCGCTCGTGAGCATGATCTCCAGATGAAATGACCGCCAATTGGCTCTCAATCAATATTGTGCAAGGGATTCAATCTTGCGTCAATCAATATTGTGCGATGACGTAATCAAACAATGACATACTGGGATGCACATTGACTTAACACAGAAACTGTGTTGTCTAGAGGTCTTTTCCACTTCAAACTGTCAAACTGTCTTTTCCACTTTAAAGTATACCAAAAGTTATAAGTGAGCTTATTTCATCGTATCTGATGCCGATCCCAATATGTTTAATTGAGGAGCATCTCCTTTAAAAAGCACTCGACATGAGTGCGCCATTTTTGGCACCTACGTACACCTGCACGTACAAGTGCAAGTGAAAGAATATTTCTTGGAGAGTGGAAAATTTCGCTCCAAATAGTACATCTGCAATGACATGTGGGGAACTTCTGAGATTGCCCCACGTGACAACAAAATCAAGACCAATGAACAACTGGCATGGCAGACTCCGGGCTATCTGGAGCAGCGGCGGACAGAAAAAGGGAAGTTTACTGGGTCTGCAGAGATGATTCAATTGTCTTGGTGGGATGATGCATGACAGTCGCTAAATATTCGTAGAACTCTCGCCTTGATGACACTGCCCTGTCTGACGCGTTTGTCCCCCCCCCCCCCCCGGAAATTTGGCGCTGGCAACAACACGTACCAAAAGACAATTACGCATTAATTGGTAGACAATGTGAGGTGCACATCTGTTCAGATTACTCCACAGCAAAGACACTCATCTGTACCAGAATGCACTCGTGACCCAGTGACGTTCGTTAAGTTGCCAGATAAGGTTTTATCCTTTTTAAGTAGACAATTCAACCGCAGCCGATAACTTCGTGAACTGCACACAATTCTTCGAATGCGCGGCGGGAGTGATTCCCAGCCACGGAGTCTCGCACGCGCAGACGACATTGTCTCCGCCAGATGCTCAGAATCGGAGCCGGTTCCCAGCGCCAGGTTCCCTCCCAATTGTACAGGCATTTTCAGAAATGGGAAAGTAATCAATGGGATCAAAGCAGCTTTGACCCGAGCAATCAGGCCGGTTCCACACCGAATTCCGGCGATGCGATCGGCCGATGACTCAGTTCAGTGGCCGAGAAATAACCTGTTGGAGCCAAACGCCAGCGCGGCACTGGGACTTGTGTAGCGCGCGGCACCAAGCGACATTAGTCCAGCCGCTATTGACGCCAAAACCCGCGCCCAGACACCATCAAGTGAACGAGCAGTGTCAGCCCATGGCGTCGACGTTCCGGTACGGGTGCCCACCATCAAGTGAACGAGCAGTTCAGCCCATGGCGTCGACGTTCCGGTACGGGTGCCCACCATCAAGTGAACGAGCAGTTCAGCCCATGGCGTTGACGTTCCAGTACGGGCACCGTTCAGCTCCGCGACAATAGCGAGGCGGCGAGCAAGGCCTACCTGTCGAACTGCTTGACGGGACACTTGAGCCGGACGGTGGTGCCCTTGAAGACGGAGGCCGTGCCGCCAATCTTGAGCGTCACTCGCCGCTGGATCGTCTCCTGCTCGTACGACTGCGGACACAGAACGAAGGGATGTTATCAGTCACGTGCTCCGATGCCACCTTCGCCCACGTCCGTAACGCATTTACGATGCCGTGATGATTTGGGGGATTTTTGTGTTATTTCCTGAGCTTATCACCGCCCCTTGAGCTCATATCTGCTTGTGGTGATCTCCTTGTGCTCATCCTTTTACCAAGAACCAATTTCCGCTCGTCAATGGGCCGTTACTTTACTATCACTTTCTGTTTGCGTTGTCTTATCATTGTCCGGTTGTTGCAATTTCCGGTTTGATATTGCTCAGCTATAGCGCTGGTGACAGTGGCGCCGCCGCTGCCCGGTCGTAGTGCCGGTGTTACTCGGGCCTGTTGCCGGTGAGAGTTAGAGCCCGCCGGACCGCGGCACTGGTGCCAGTGGTGCTGGTGCCGCTCGGCTGTAGTGCTGGTGTCACTCGGCTGTGGTGCTGGTGTCGCTCGGCTGTAGTGATGGTGTCACTCGGCTGTGGTGCTGGTGTCACTCGGCTGTAGTGCTGGTATCACCCGGCTGTGGCGCCGGTAACAGTTGGAGCCCGGCCGGACCCCGGCACTGGTGTCAGTGGTACTGGTGTCACCCGGCTGTAGTGCTGGTGTCACTCGGCTGTAGTGCTGGTGTCACCCGGCTGTGGCGCCGGTAACAGTTGGAGCCTGCCGGACCCCGGCACTGGTGTCAATGGTACTGGTGTCACTCGGCTGTAGTGCTGGTGTCACCCGGCTGCGGCGCCGGTAACAGTTGGAGCCCCGCCGGACCCCGGCACTGGTGTCAGTGGTACTGGTGTCACTCGGCTGTAGTGCTGGTGTCACCCGGCTGCGGCGCCGGTAACAGTTGGAGCCCGCCGGACCCCGGCACTGGTGCCAGTGGTATTGGTGTCACTCGGCTGTAGCGCTGGTGTCACTCGGCTGTGGTGCCGGTGTCACTCGGCTGTAATGCTGGTGTCACCCGGCTGCGGCACCGGTAACAGTTGGAGCCCGCCGGACCCCGGCACTGGTGCCGGTGGCGCCGCCGCTGCCCTCCGCGTCGCCGGTCGACGGAGGGGGATCAGCCGCCGCCGCCGGCACCAGGTGCACCGCGCGCCCGCCCGTCATCAATCAGCTGTTTGCGGTCGGGAGCCATCGCTCACGACGTCCGTCATGCATGCTGAGAGGTGCCAGCGGCTTATCCCGGACGGCAGCGGCACGGTGGCCAGATGGCACGCGGATGGCGGGACCGTGGGTGCGGTGCGGACCGGACCAGAGCACGTGGGGGTTCTCGTCTCAGTCAGTTGAGACCCGACATGTCAGAGGCGAGCTCTCGATTAAGCACACAGACCGGGGCTTCAGCTGAAGAGTGGGCAGATGCGAACACCACAGAGTGACGTTCCAACCAAAATCGGTTGTGGAGAGGCGGTACGGTTTCTCCTGACGACTTTCTGCCGCGTCAAAGGTCCGCGGCAATAGCCATGTTCAGATCACGCCAAACATCCAACACGTGATAATGGTGACCGTGCTCGAAGCTCTCGAAATTGAGAGTGTACACCCACACGGCTGTCTTCGGAATAATATTACACTCCCGAGCGTAACGCCTTACGGAGCAATCTGGTCAGCGAGAGGTTCAGTCTGCTGAAAACCGTGCATAAGACGATGCACTCGTGTTTTGGCATTAAGAAGCAAAGAAACGATTCAAGAATGACCAGCCAGGCATGTTCCAATATTCATCTACAGCCGACATCACCTGAAACAGGTTTGCGGCTAAAATGTGTTGACGATTGTGGGTGTTCGTGGCATCAGATGCTTTACGGCGATTATACAGCTGTTTTGCTATACATTAATTACATTATCTTTTCAAATTTCTGCACTTGCTCGAGAATGAGACATCCCTCACAGCATTATTCAGCCTGAGAGCAGCCGCAAGCTGTTTCAGCACATTGTTTTAGCTGCTTCAGCACAGCACATTGTTTTCCAATGCTCATCTGGGCGCATCCATTTCCCAAAACTCTTCTTGAATATAAAACTCGAAATCCGGTCGCATCGATGATTACGATCACAAAAAGAGGGCATGCTACCTACATACATGGGGCTATGCTTGTCCATTGGCGCCGGTATGATTCACATCAGAACGGCCAGTGCCGCAGAGCCCACGACAGCAAAGGTGTATGTGCTGTATGAACGGGGTAGCACGTCACATCCACTTCGAACGGTAGCTAAATCAGGATGAGGTCCGTTCGGCTATTTCCGTGCTCGTTACTGGTGACATTTAGCCGCCCGGGGTCTGTAAACGTTCGTAACTCTGGCAGTGTTGCCAGAGTTCCGCTTGAGAACAACCTATCATGTTTTGAATTAATTGAATGTTAATATGTAACTAGCCTCCGAGATCGTGTAGGTGCCCCATTCCCATTTAGACCTCATTCGGAGCTTAAACTTGTGAGCCCTGACCTTTCCGCACGCTGTCTCGCCGTGCTATAATTGATGAGCGCGACGGAAATCTTCAGGCTGCACGACCCGCATTACTATCGACGTAGTTCGAGCCGGTAAAGCCGATCATGAGTGTCATGTTTGGTACTAAGCCTTCGCAAAAAGAGCCTTCACAATCCGCTGGCAAGTGAGTTTGAGTTAGGCTTTTCAGATTTCCCAGTGCCATTTCCAGTGACTTTCCTGTACCAGGAAAAACTGAGTACCACCTAGGTAAGTTTAATACCCATCCATCGCACATATCCTATTTATCGCCAGCTCAGTAGCGGTCAGTAGACGTCGCATATTGTCACTGTTGGTAACAACCGAACCGTAAAGTTAATAAAGCAGCGACTAGGTCGCTGGTATCGATCTAAAGATTCGTGGATAGACAGTTTCAACGCACAAACAACTTACCATTCTCCGCACATACCCGCTAGCAACACAATTGAGTTATGCCAGTTAAAACTACCATACGAAAATGACTAAATGCGCCGATGCATGTTTGCCAGACAACCGAAGCGCCAGCCGACTTCCGCATTACAAGTTGGCAGACTAGATCGGAGTGGTGGCATCGGGGGCCTGCGTCCGGAGTCGTCTGGCTTTGACGGACGAAATATGTCCGGACGTCGAGTTCCGACAGACAGTTGCTGGTATTATTTTCCATGGCCCACAAGACCCAATCAGTTTGAATTTATTTCCCTGCAGTCGGCTTGTCAAAAGACTGCAGTTAATAACATGAAACAATTTTCCATGCCGCACCACCCAAGCGTTCTGAAGAATACCCCCAGCCATCAGATGTCTGACATTTTCCAGACAGCATGAGAACATTCTTCTAAGAAACCACCGAAACCGCTGTGAAGATGCGTTACTTGAAGCAGCCTTCGGAAGATGAGACCGGCCCGGGACAGCGGAGGATGAGACCTACTGGCCGGGTGTTCAAGTCCGCACGATTTCGGAAGGAAACTCAGTCGGCGCGCTGAGTTCGTTGCGTTGTGCTGTTACAGATAGCGCACTTCAATTTCGGGACAGATCTCCGTACACTGCCTTTTGGAGACACATTTCCAGCTACGCAGTGGTAATAAGGTGAGCGGTCAAAAAGCGCAGGTCTGATATGTCGGAATATTGGCTCTTCCACACAAGCCGCATGCACCCACAGTTGTGGTAAGGTACCCGAACGCATGCGTGCTAACCCACACGCGAGGCGCGACGCACCAAGCCACCGGCGGGAAGCGTACAGCAGCACGCACGACCACGCAGAGGCCCCGCTGAGCTGGGGACGGAGCGCACCTGGTTGGAGGTGATGATCTGCGGACCGTGGCAGCGGCGGCTGTTGCAGCTGCGGTGGTCGGCCGGCCGGGAGGCAGTGCACATCGACGGGCCCTTGTCCACCACCGAGCCGTCGGCCATGTGCTGCTGGCAGCGCAGCCAGCGGTGCTTGACGCCGCCGCCACACGAGCGCGAACACTGCCGGCAGTGGCGTCGGGCGTCACAGGCGTGACGCGGCCGCCGGCTGCGGAGGCCGGGTCACACGTCCGACGAGGTCGACAGGCGGCCCAGATCGGTCCAGCATGACATCGAACTGGGGATGCCATGTCATGTGTGTCCCCCACCGAGGCTGTCAGTCTCGCCGCGATGGCGGAGTGGACGCCCGCGGGCACCGAGCGGCAAATTCCGCGGCGCCCGCTACCATTTCAGTTTTACATCAAAACTCCAATTCTGGGCCAGTCGTTGACGAGACAGCCATATCACAGTGGGGGATTTGGGGCAATGACCGTGGGTCCACATGACCATTATCTGCTCAAACGTGGCAGCTCCAACACTGTTATCATTGTTAGTGGGGTCATTCCAAGTCAAATAATCAATTTCAAATACCGCCATTCCCGATTTGGATAAAATTGATACATATAGGAAACCTCATCAAAGAAAATTTGCAATATCAGGTGACATTTGGGGCCAGACCAATGGGCCATGTAACATTCGTTTTCATAGTCTCAACAGTCTGAATCCCTCATAACGTTAAATAGGTAGGAAGACGATGAAACAGCCTTTGCGCGTTACTTCACGTACGCTGGTGTTTTATTGTGTGACAGATACACATCAGGCTGACAAAGTCACCTTATTCGTTCTAGTGATGTTGTCTTCAGTCGCTTTTTAAAAAATTTCGAACAAAATTTGTATATTTAGAGCACGACGGCAAAGGCTTCTTGAGTAAATAAACTATTCACGAAGCTAAATTCACATACATCGCGTGAGTGACCTATGAGATGAAGTCAAATGAGGTTGCGGTCTTTCTTGTTACGTGTACAGCAAAGCTTGTTTAGGTGTAGTTATATCACGACAGCATCCAAATGGTCAGTCGAGGTGGTCCCGTGGCATGTATGACATTGACCATGAAAAGCCCTGAGTGAATGATTCTGACCCTTAATGACAGACGTAGGTCTTCAATATGCATTACAAATGGTAACTTGTCCGACAAAGTGGTGACGATATTTTCACATGTTTTGCCGGTGGGACTATTTGGAACAGTTGTATGGCATGCTTCAACATATACTTAACGCGTGACGCAAATTGGCGGCGACATCAAAACTAAAAGCATATGGTAGGGCGGCAAAATGTTGCATTGCTCGTTATTAGGCAAATACATCGCTTCCAGGCCGGCCTATGTTCTTTTAGACCCGAAAAGTCTGCCCGCGCTTCGTCTGGTGCGTGATGATGCCAGGAACGGCTGCATCTCTTCAGGCTCAGTTCAAATAACCAGACCACTCTAACCAGGGTCGGCACAAACAACCAGACCACTCTAACCAGGGTCAGCTCAAACAACCAGATCACTCTAACCAGGGTCAGCTCAAACCACCAGACCACTCTAACCAGACATGATATGCTTCCATCTACCAGGTCTCATTATTTTGTTTGATCTCATGGGTTAGAAGAGGTTTAGAATAACCACCCTGGCACAAAAGGTTAGTTTATCTGTCTAGGTTGCACGAAAGCTGCTGTATGGAATCAACCGCGTCAAACCTGTCAACAGTGAGAGGGAAAGATACACACGTTATACAGGCGACTGCTAATACTAAGCATCGCCAAAATCACAGGATTGCTCTCAACATATCCTGCTTTCACGTTGCACTTCCCACATGTCATATCAAGTAAAATCTGCAGAAAAATCGACCCGGGCAATAGAGGTCAAAATTGAAACCTTAGCTTCCTGAAAAGCCCAAATGTCACATCAACGCCACGATAGGAAGTTTAAGAATCCAAGAGATATTAAATGGGCATTACGCGGTGCTAAAAACAGTCACGTTACGAACCTGGCATTAAACGGTCATTAAACAGTCACGTTACGAAACAGACATTAAACGGTCATTAAAAGGTCACGTTACGAAACAAGTCTTAAAAGATGCTAAGCCGGCGTGTTCCGAAATGGGTATTAAACGGTGTTTAACTGACGAGTAATGGTATACCTCCGCAGTGTTCTGCAGGTTTGAGTCCGTAAAAGTAGTGCCAATGAGGAAATATGGGGTGGCCTCTGGCGGGTACTCCAGGTCACCTTAGGCTACAAACTGGTACGTGATCAGCTTCCATGGACCACACCGCCTCTACACGTCGCGCCCAGATGGAAAAGTGTATGGGCTAAAAGTACCTGCCATGACCGCCCGGACAACGAAAAACATTCAAGAGAACGGCACACGAAGTCAAAGCTTTGTCTTTTTTGGCTTCGTACAACTCATGCCACTCGCCATAAACTCTCTGAAACAAGCTCACCCTCTAATTCAACGAAATGAAACAGCAGCGACAAGCTGGACAAGACCGTTCTTCTGTTGCTATACCCAGGAATGGCATACAAATGACAAAATCTGTTCAGCCGCATTACAGCTCACCAGTATCAATGTTAACTGTAATGCTGCCTGTGGGGCCTGGGCTGACCGGAACAGGCCAGTTAAGCAGGAAGTCAAGCACCAACACAACAAACCTGCTTTCTTCATCAGCACATACAATACGCCGACGATGGCCTGCTGCACAATACTCCCAAACAAAGCTTATGTTCCAAATAGTTTAGCTGTAGAGGCCTGACGGCCATTCGACTGAAAATCTCATCAACAACGAACTTCTCGTTAAACTTAAATCATGACTTTGAAAACCAAGCAGCGCGGGCAGGAGAGTGCTCCGGTGAGAGGCTGCCGTCCGTGTCAGCCTGCTTCCGCGTGAGCCGGTCCCCGCTCCGCCCGTCGGCCGGCCGACAGGCGCGCCGGCACATCACAGCGCCTCGCCACAACTTCTGGAGAGATTTCGGACGAGTTTGCGGTGCTGTCCGGCCCGTCATGTCCGGCGGGCGACGAGCCGTCCGCGCACCGTCGTGACAGCTGCCAGCTCAGCGCCGGCCCGTCCGGACGGCCGAAGTCGCCAGCCCGGGCCAAGTTCGCCGCAAGTTGGTCCGTCGCAGACTGGTCGACAGAGATGCGGGCCGACCAGACGTCCGATGGTCAGATGGAGCCTCCGCTTTGGGGGCCGCGCGATGGCCCGACGGACCTCCGGTCGGCGAGACGTTCGAAGGTCAGATGGACCTCCGGTCGGCGGGACGTTCGAAGGTCAGACGGACCTCCGGTCGGCGGGACGTTCGAAGGTCAGACGAACCTCCGGTCGGCGGGACGTTCGAAGGTCAGACGGACGCGGGACATTCGAAGGTCAGACGGACCTCCGGTCGGCGGGACGTTCGAAGGTCAGACGGACCTCCGGTCGGCGGGACGTTTGCAGGTCAAATGAACCTCTGGTTGACGGAACGTCGGAAGGTAAGACCGGACCGTGGTGGCGTACACAAGACCACTCCCACACCAGTGCAGATGAAGATGCTGGCGGAGGTGGAGGAACACTGGGTGGCATGACTCACGAGGCGGAGCGCAATGAGCGGAGGCTGAGTGGACGGATTTTACCGGAGAGGGGCGGGGGAGGAGGTAAACAGGGAACACCACATTGCAGCCAGATCTGCTGCCCACGGCGGTGCACCCTTACGACGCCGTCCTAGCAAACCAAGATCGCGAGGTGACCGACCCCAGAAAGTCCGCCTCTGCTCCAGAAAGCATCGGCGCAAGTATCAGCGTGCTGTGGCCGGTTCGTTGTACTGAGGGGCACGCGCTGACTGCGAGGACAGACGGCGACAGCCGCTATCCTGCGGACGCGACCTGTCGCCGATCTCTGCAGACGGCCCACGCCGACCCGGGACCGCAGTCACGCAGCCCCCGCAACTCCAGCGCCTGACCTGCATCCACCCGCGCACCGCCGGCCTGCTGACAGCGTCCAGGCGTCTGACCTGTCCTAAAACAGCGGCCCGGCGCCGCCGCTGAAGACGCCGCCCTGTGCTGCAGGCCACGGACATTCACTGACCTGGCTCCACTCGCCGGGCACCCAGCCCGGAGGGCAGTCGATCAGGTTGCAGAGCTGGTTGTCGGCCGGTCGCGGCGCCGGGCATGCGGAATCCTCCACCACCAGGGTGTTCCCCTCGCCCCGCGCCAGCTCGTGGACGCAGTGCACCTCGCGGTTCTGGAGTCCTGAGAACGCGGCACAGCCTGTCACGCCCCTGCCCCGTTGATCCAGGGAGTCGTGGTAAGGCAAGGACCAGCGAGCAGACGTCAAGAGAAGTCCGCTCAGCATCCGACACGCAGCTTGTAACCGTTAGCAGCACAAGCACGGAAGCCAACAGCTTCACCATTTCAGCATTCGTCACATCATAGTTCTGCCATATCAGACCGACCCCGCTGCAACTCCGTCACGGAGGACACGCTAGGCCATATATCGGCCGAGTCAGCCTCCACCACGCCGTAACTACGCCATGTCAGGCTCCACCACGCCATAACTACGCCATGTCAGATTTCGCCGCCGCACGCTTGCCGCACCACGAATGGGTCGGGCCGGCCCGTTATTTGATGACATTGTTATGAGCGTCGTAGCGGGCGGTGCCGGCGCCGCAGCCCGCTCCGGCCTGCCGTCGGCTCGGCCCCACACGCCGGGGAGCGAGGCCGACGCTGGCGGACGGCACTGCTCCCCACCCTGGTGTTGTCTAGACGGGGCGGCGGGGCGGTTACAGTGGAAGAAGTGTTGTGCGGTGTTCGGCGCTGGGGTGGTGTTAAAGATCACTTCTAAGCGGCCGTCAGGATATGGCTAATAGATGGCGGGGCCGTAAACGCCACATCCATGACAACAGCGGTGTCCGAGCGCCGAAGCTTATGTTAGCGTTGCTAAGTGACAACAGCACAGTAATGTTTGCACAGACTATGCCGTTGGTATGGATCGCAACCAAGATAATAAACAGGGGCTTGCGATAGGGCAACAGTGGTACCAGATAACTTCCTGGCCAGCACCTAAAACAGACCGGCAACAACATGTGCGCCCTGGAATAAAAAAGCGTCAACAGTTCCCTATGGCCATATCAGCTCTGCATCCGACGTGTTTAAGACAACAGGCTCACCAAACGCAACGAAAGCAATAAAAAGACAATACATCGATATGTATTGATCCATCCAATACAGTAGAACCCAAACAGTTTTTTGCGTTGCTATGCTTACGTCACGCAACGTATCACGTGACACTAACAGCGTCATTGGGACAGAGTGCATTCAGTGGGGGAGCATTGGTCCCCCAACCTCTGCAAAAACCCGACCGGGCAGACGTTTGGACCCTCACCAACATTCAGTGGCTGACCATTGGTCCCCAACCCCTGCAAAAGCCCGACCGGGCAGGCGTTAAGACCCTCACCAACATTCAGCGGGTGAGCAGTGGTCCCCGAACACCTGCAAAAGCCCGACCGGGCAGGCGTCAAGACCCCCACCAACACGGCGCGTAGCGCACACGCTCAGGGCACGTTTGGGAGCCTGACTGTGGCCGTGAGCCGATCACCCCCGTGTGTCGGATGGGGCTGCGTAGCCACTGGTCTGGCCAGGCCTGAGCGGTCCGACGTCATGCTCAGGTCGGGAGCTCAAGCGAGCCCACACGAACCCGTGGCCGGCGCGGACCACACGCCGCCAGAGGCCGTCGCCAGCCGGGTCAGCGCGCCGGTGGTTACGTGCCTCACACGCGCCTTCAGGCAGACGAGAGGCGAAACGCCGACGGAAATGGCCGTTTCCGGCGCCGGGCCCGCTCCGGGAATGGTCCCGTGGGCCTCCCGGCGCGGGCGGGTATGACCTCTCGCCGCCTCCGGGGCCGTTCCGTGGGTCGGGCACCGTTGCTCAGGGGGGGGGGGGAGGGGAAACTGACCGTGCGTGACCCCAGACGATTGGAGCTCGCCAGCGGCTGTACGGGCGTCGCGGCGGCGCAGATTATTGCGACAAACTTGTCGGCAATCTATCATCTCATGAGCGATGGGCCCGTTGGGCAAGGGCGGCGGGCGGAGGAGAGTGGGGGAGCAGCCGCGGGACTTCCGTGACGCTGGCACATCCGCCCTGGATGAAGGCCCGCTGGCTCACCCCGCGCCCCGGCCATGCGTCCGCCGGCAGCACACGGCCTCTGAGGCCGCCAGGTGCGGCGGCCCGCCCGGGCTGGACCGGCACCGCACAGGACGGCGGCCGGCCTCGCCGCCGGCCGCCGCCGAGGTCGCCGCCCAGTCCAGCGCGGCGTCGGACTTGTTAGATCGAGTGCAGCATAGCCGCCAGCTGTGAGCATCGAGCCGGAGTGGGACGCGTGCGTCGGCAGCGAGTGTGTGCCAAACCGCCAGCAGCGGAATGACGGTGCGCGAGAGCGGGGACGAAGTGCATTCGCGCTGTGAGCAGAGCCTGTCCCCTCCAAAGTCCTGCGCTGGCGGCGGGGTCGTCATTCTGCGGCCTTGAACTCTCGTGGGAGCAGCGCCGGCGTGCAGCGTGGCTGATGCCGACGTTAGTGTGGTGGGCACGGCGTGCAGGCAGGTGTTCACCCCGTGGCGGTGCTGTGTGCACGTGATTTCATCTGTTGATCCCACGCGAGTAGACGGCCGAAGGGACGCCCCAGGAAGGTGACGTGTGCGGTTACGGTGACGCGGCGGCCGTGGGCAGGGACTGACCACGGTGCGGATGTCGGCGTGCCAGGCGAAGGCCACGACTAAACAGACGTGGTGACCAGGCAGAGAGCGGCGGTGCGCGGCCGCTGCGACGACCGCCGCGGTCACAGGGAGCCACGGCACACCCGCACAGCACTCCGCCCCGTACGCCACAGGGAACCGCGGCAGGCCCACACAGCATTCCGCCAAGTACGCCACAAGGAGATGCAGCAGACCCACACAGCACTCCGCCCCGTACGCCACAGGGAGCCGCGGCAGGCCCACACAGCACTCTGACCCGTACGCCACAGGGAGCCGCGGTGGACCCACACAGCACTCTGCCCCGTACGCCACAGGGAGCCGCGGTAGACCCACACAGCACTCTGACCCGCACGCCACAGGGAGCCGCGGTAGACCCACACAGCACTCTGCCCCATACGCCACAGGGAGCCGCGGTAGATCCACACAGCACTCTGCCCCGTACGCCACAGGGAGCCGCGGTAGACCCATACGGCACTCTGCCCCGTACGCCACAGGGAGCCGCGGTAGACCCACACAGCACTCCACTCCGTGCGCCGCAGGGAGCCGCGGTAGACCCACACAGCACTCCACTCCGTGCGCCGCAGGGAGCCGGCTTGCTGATACATTAGACTGCAAAGCGGAGCCCGACGGAGCTGAGTTCGTCCTGCGCAGCATTTCAATATCGCCGTAGAAGGGATTTTCAGATGGACGCATGTCATTGAATCTTGATGGAATTTTGCTTGAACGATAACAACAGGTGCACTGCCACCAGACCCCCTCGGGAGACAAGTAAGAGCTCCCATCATCCCCTGAATTACCACAGAGCCATTGACGTATTTGTGCTTCTCAGTTGAGGAATACTGGAGATACGATTGTGATGCTTAAACGCATAATATCATACTCGCTTATCGTTGTCTGCACTGCTAAAACGTACCTTTAAGAAGGACTCCGGTCAAACACTGTCCGTTTTCTGTTGTGCGACTTTATAAACAGAACATTTTGGTCACCAAAAGACCCTCTGGACAACGCATTTAAAGATGCCATGCAACTGGCTTCCTAGCGATGTCTAAGATCGACCCAGACATCTGCTCGTTTATCATAATCATATCACGAAAACTACTTTGGCGGGGCGATGTGCTACAACTAAATTCTCTGAATTGCCAATCGTCTCGCTTCCTCCTCTCAAATTTCTGACCAGATTAAATGCCAGCAAAATTTCGCTTCATGCAGTTATTGAAGATCAGATATTTTTTAATAATTCATCAAATAAGAGTGCAATTTCCATCGAAGTGTCCTCGACATTTTACGATTAAATAATACCTAAAGCAGTCAAGCACACTCAAACCTCGGGGTTCTTGCATAAAACAACAATACAAATCCGGCAACGCTGGAGCATCCTCTGCAAAATTCCTCGAAGCCTTATGGCGGCCGAAAATCCTGTCATTCGGCATCGGCCCGGCGCTACGCGGCGTTCCGGGCCAAACACCATCGGCTGGGGTTGACTTAACGCCATCACACAGACGCACCCATTAAGACCGAACTAACTGCAGGACATCACGCAGCAAGGCACGATAAGGGAGAAGTGGGGGGGGGGGGGGGGGGGGCGTCACGTCTGTGGCCGGGCTCGCGCCATCCGAACATCGCCATCGGCACGGCTGTCACGCTCAGCGCCGAGAGGGCACTTCATCCCCGCCTTGTCAGGCACCCTTGTCGATATCAGCGTCGGGAGCGGTCGCCTCGGTGGTGGAAGGGGGGGGGGGGGGCTGAGGGTGCGAGATAGGTGGGATCGTCGCTTAGGCACATTGTACAACTTACGACAGGGCCAAGTAAAATGGCTTTGTGGCTTGTCCCAAAAGACCACGGCGAAAGATATGCTTCCTGGTAGCACATTCCAGTTACCAGATATAAAGCATAATATGCCTTCTCTTGTCGTAAGTGGAGCTGTCCCACAAGCGTTGGCCATTTCCGTCAGAGTAGAAAATGCAACGCTGCAGTCGTGCCTTCCAGCGATAACACAAGACACGTGCACTGGGCGGACATTGCCACCAATAACCCACCCGTATAGGGTACTTTTGCCACCACTGCCCTACCAGCGTCACCACTGCCACCACTGCCCCATCACCACTGCCCCACCACTGCCTCACCAGCGTCAACTACCTTTGCCACCAATGTCCCACCAGTATGGGCTGCTTTTGCCACCACTGCCCCACTAGCGTCAGCTACCTTTGCCGCACGGTCGTGAGCAGGCCGAGAATTCGGTGATGTTCCAGCGCGGAGGACACGGCACGTCGTTACACGTGCGCGTGATGCTGTCCGGTCGCGTGTCCAGTGGACACAGGAACGGGCTGGCCTCCTTGCCGTCGGACACGCTCACGCACTGCACCAGCGACTCCTGTACGCCGCCTGCGGACAACGGACAGCGGCGGACAGTCAGGCGGACAGCCTGCTGGGCGGGACAGACGGCCAAGTGGACGGGAACGAATAGCGGAGGCAGTCAGGCATACAACGGCAGACAGTGGCGGACTGTTCGCACGCGCAAAGTTCGCGCCCCACGTGAAACGCCACCGCCGACAGTTTCGGCCGGCGAGCGGCGGCCGTCCATTCTGGCCGCTTGACGAGCCTGTGTACCGCACAGCCGTCAGATGAGAGGCATTACACGAGCCCGGCTGCCCGGGCGCGACCTGCACTCTCCGCCAGCAAAACAAGCACGTTCCGGCGGCGGCCGGTGGGTGCGCCGCACGAGAGCCGCCGAGCCGTGCCGTGCCCAGCGAGCGGCGCTACGCACCCAGGCAGGAGGAGCTGCAGGGCGTGAAGCCGACCTTCTTCCAGACGTGCTGCGGCATGGACGGCGGCAGCGGCGCCGGCTCGGGAGGCCGGATGACCACCACGCCGCTCACGGCGTCGGCCCTGGCGCCGCCCCTGCGTGCACCGCCGCCCAGCAGCTCGAACGAACCCACCACATCCTGGTAGTTACGGCCGCCGCTCAGCACGTGCGAGCGCAGCCGGTGGATGCCGTCCTGGTGGCGTGCCGTCGGTCCGGACAGTCGGCGCTCGGTGGGCGGCATGTCGCCCGGGCCCGCCTCCGGGCTGGCGAACTCGTCCCCGGCTCGTCCGCCGCCCAGCGGCTCGAACTCGGCGCTGGCGTCCTCGCGCTCGTCGTCGTCGGCATCGGCGTCGTGCAGCGTCAGCTCAGGGCTGGAGAAGGCGTCGTCGTCGGCATCAGCGTCCTGCAGCGTCAGCTCGGGGCTGGAGAACGGCACCCGGTCCGGCGGGTCGTTGACGTCGTACAGCATGTCGTAGGTGTGCCTGGGCGTCTTGTCGTCGTAGGTGTGTCTGGGCGCCTTGTCTTCGTAGGTGTGCCTGGGAGTCTTGTCGCTGCTCTCCGAGTGAGATTGTCGATACGGCTGGTGGAAGCTGGCGTCGGAGGCTGACGACAGCCCACCCAGCATGCTGCTGCCGGCACGTGTCAGAAGGATCAGTCACAGAAAACTGCATGCAGAAAGGAAATTGATTCGCGCATTCACTCAAAGCGATTAGCTGCAAATGTGGCATGTGACAATAATCCATTCTGACAGTGCCGCACAGCCCACGCCTCTCCGACCCGTGGGGCATTGACTTTGAGCCGACCACAGCACATAACCAAAATCTTTGCGTTTTACAGAGGACCCCTTCCAGCAACCCACACAAAGCCACGCGCCCTCCATTCACAGTCCGGTCTCAGCCCCCCCCCCCCCCCGCAAAGACGGACGCATGAGTCCCGGCGCCGTGCCGTGGGACCGACGCGACACCGCCCAGCCCACCTGTGCCGCGGGCAGGCGGGCAGGATGCAGCGCTCCAGGTCGGCCGGAGCCTGTCGGCCGCACTCCCTGCTGGGCAGCCGCACCAGCGTCTGCGAGAACTCCAGGTAGACCATGCACTCGACCTTGCGCCGCCGGAGTCCCTCGCCGCACGTCACGGAGCACTCGCTCCAGCTGTCCGCCACGAACCTGCGGCGCAGGCGGCGCCGGTCACCGAACACTCCTGGCCTCCTGATGAAGCTCAGAGTCAAAGGTGGGTACAGTTACCGCTGGTCTTCGGTCGGAGCTCAGAGTCCGAGGTAGTCCGAGGTGCTCCTGGGCTCCCAATGGAACTCAGAGTCAGTCTGAGGTAGTCCTGGCCTCCTGACGGAACTCAGAGGCGAAGGTAGCTACAGGTACTCCTGGCCTCCTGACAGAACCCAGGGTCAGAGATAGGCAGGGGTACTACTGGTCTTCGGTTTGAGCTCAGAGTCGGAGGTAGGCAAATGTACTCCTGGCCTTTGGTCTGAGCTCAGAGCCAGAGGTAGGCAGAGGTGCTGCTGGCCTCCTGACCGAACTTAGAGTCAGAGGCAGAAAGAGATGCTCCTGGTCTTCGGTCTGAGCTCAGAGTCAGAGGTAGACAGAGGTCCTGCCTACCTTGGGTTGGGTTCAGAGTCGGAGGTAGGCAGAGGTACTATTGGTCTCCACCGTAACCCAGACTACACTCTTTGCATTGAATGCAGATGGAGTCAGTCACAGGTCAGGCCTGGCCACACGTGCGGATTGAGTCGGTTAGGGATAGTCAGAGGACGCCCCTGGCCACACGTGCGGATTGAGTCGGTTAGGGGCAGTCAGAGGACACCCCTGGCCACACGTGCGGATTGGGCCGGTTAGGGATAGTCCGAGGACACCCCTGGCCACACGTGCGGATTGGGCCGGCTAGGGATAGTCAGAAGACAACCCAGACATGCATGCTGGTTGAGTCGGTCCAGATCGAGCCTCATTTGTCAGAGTCAGTTAACGACGAACGAAACAAACGCAGTCCGTGAATATTTCATGTGTGTGGAATGAGGCCGCAGAAAGAACAACTGCCCCCCTGGGACGCTTTTATTTTTGGACATCTTGGAACGCTAAGCCCCACTTTCAAGAGCTTGAGAGGATTACGTCTTTAAGGCTCGGGACATGACATCACTATCAGTCCTACGCCACATAGGTGAAGACTAGCTGAGTTGTAATGTCCATTGCTTAAGTTTTCTTATGCCACGTATGATATTAAGCGTGGTCACAAACGACCATGGCCGAATCGCCCACGTTCCACAAAGCTTCTTAGAACGAAACTATCTCCGCGAGCCACGCAGGGAATGTGCACGCCAAGTCTGACCAATGTGCCCGTCACGCCGAACGGAAGGCGCTCGCGCCGCCGTGGCGCTCCATAGCGGAGGGCGCCAGCGCCGCCATGGCGCTCCATGGCGGAGGGCGCTCGCGCCGCTGTGGCGCTCCATGGTTGCATGAGCACGGCCTATACACGGTCACAATAGCCGTCTTGCCGACAACTCGTTATGCTTAATTATCCGCGCATAATGAGTCACCGTCTAGAACTGAATAATTAAAAGCGGTAGTCAGCTTTACGCGCTGGCAAGCGAAATACACTGTGTCGGCAGAGCTTGAAGTAGTCCACATTGAGAATACTTGCCATACATAGTCCACACATAGTCATACTTGCCACCCATAGCCGCGCATACTCCTGAAGCTGCTGTATATACCACACCTATTTGTCATTCTTTGCTCAGTGGAAAGCACCAGTGTTCAAAAAGAGCGCGCCGGACAAGCCGGCAGCCACGTTTAAACTTGTTCAGCGAGTGCTCTTCGCCATATGACCATTTTCGAATAGGTTCAGGTCAGAATTGGCTGGTGACAATTTGGTACCACTGTTGTTTGCGCTGTACAATTCCATGAAAACTCCGTCGGACAATGTAGCCCCTCGCAACTGTACCACCGGTCTGTCCGCCGGTCTGTGCACCCCTCCGAGCGTAGAATCTCCCGATGTCCACCAGCATGTGCACCTCTCCGAGCGTAGTGTCTCCTGATGTCCGCTGGCCTGTCACCCCTACGAGCGTAGCGTCTCCCGATGTCCACCAGCCTGCGCACCCCTCCGAGCGAGGCGTCTCTCCATGTCCACCAGCCTGTGCACCTCTCCGAGCGTAGCGTCTCCCGATGTCCGCGCGCCTGTGCACCCCTCCGAGCTCCTCCCGATGTCCGCCGGCCTGTGCACCCCTTCGAGTCTCTCCCGATGTCCGCCGCCGGGCTTGGGCCGGTGGGAGGGCACGGCCAGGGACGGCAGCCGCGTGCCGGCGCCACCGCCAGCCCGTCCCCGCCAATTACAGGCGCCGTGCTTCATTACGGAGAAAAACGGCCGGACACGACTATCAGGGCCGGGCGACGGAGGACGGAGCAGCACGGCGGTTCTGATTAGAGCCAGGCAGCGGAGGACGGAGCCGCACGGCGGGGGCCTGATCAGAGCTGGATGGTGGAGGACGGAGCCGCGCGGCGGGCCTGATCAGGGCCAGGCGACGGAGGACGGAGCCGCACGGCGGGCCTGATCAGGGCCAGGCGACGGAGGACGGAGCCGCACGGCTGGCCTGATCAGGGCCAGGCAGCGGAGGACGGAGCCGCACGGCCGACCTGATCAGGGCAGGCGACGGAGGACGGAGCCGCACGGCGGGCCTGACAGGCCAGGCGACGGAGGACGGAGCCTACGGCGGACCTGAGAGGGCCTGATCAGGGCCAGGCAGCGGAGGACGGAGCCGCACGGCTGGCCTGATCAGGGCCAGGCGACGGAGGACGGAGCCGCACGGCTGGCCTGATCAGGGCCAGGCAGCGGAGGACGGAGCCGCACGGCGGACCTGATCAGGGCCAGGCGACGGAGGACGGAGCCGCACGGCGGACCTGATCAGGGCCAGGCAGCGGAGGACGGAGCCGCACGGCGGGCCTGATCAGGGTCAGGCAGCGGAGGACGGAGCCGCACGGCGGGCCTGATCGCCTCCTTGTGGCACCGGTGGATGCGGGGGAAGGCACGCTCCGCAGCATCACGCGCCCGGGAGGGGTTCGTTTACAGTGGGGGCGTGACGATGTGGTTGGCGCCATGTGGTGTCACCGCCGCTGATTTCGAGCCCGCGCGGTGGGAATAAGCCCACGTGGTACAGTGCCGTGAGCCGCCAACGTCTGATACTCCCGACAGCACGCGACGGCGCCTTTCGCCACCAGACAGCAGCGACGGCCCAGAAAATGACGTTCTCTTCAAACGAATCCACCGGCCGACGATATGTGTGCGTGCAGGCAAGCCAAGGCGGAGCCGCCGTCAAATGCTATCGGATCAAGCCGCGCCAGAGAGTCCTCATAAATTAGCCTTATATGACACTCGTTTCATTAGCCGGCACTGGCGAGTGGTGGTATCAGCTCTCTACAAAGCGCGCTCTAGTTAATGGGAATGATCCTGGTACATTTAGCGCGCACCAGGACACGAAGAAAAACCCCGCGTGGGGAATCACACATGCGTAGAACTGCTGGAGATGACGACAGGCGCGTCGCACATCACGCTTCAAAAGACAATCGCATTGTCCGTCAGACGTGTGCTCAGTGACTGTGTGATCCGGCAGACGTCGAGCACGGCGGCGGCGCGGCTCGTCGGGGTGTCGGAGCCCCCCCCCCCCCTCCCTCCCCCAGCGCGGCAGCCAGCCGGCGTCAGCGGCCCCGACCACTATACTGAGCAGCAACGCGCCGGGACCGCCGCCGCCGCTGACCGGGAAGCGGCGGCGGCGGCGGCCAGAGGGGAAGCCATGGCATGGGGAAGGCTCTGCAGCTGGACAGGCTGGGCAATGACAGGTCTGAGCTGCATGGAGTGACGCGCTGCATGTTCAGACTACGAGTTTTTTACGAGGTGCGGAGGGGGGGGGGGGGAGCACGCGGCTTACACGGCGCACGTCAAACCATGCCCTTAGTTTAAAGCGCCAGTGACTGAGGCGGTCCTGACAGCACCCAGGGACCATCGTGCGACCGAAAATTTGAACCGCTTACTCCCTCACCTCCTCCGAAATTATGCCCAGCGCTCGCGCAGTTGCGTTCAAGAGTGAGCTTTCTACCGACGCGCTTCGCTGTTCCGACGCCTTCGCACGCTCGAACGAACTCGAAGCGTGCGAGCCGGGAGACTACGCCTGGAGTCAGCTCCCGGTACCGCCGCCGGAAGGGGATCCATACACTCCCCAGGGATCAGAGCCCTGGCTTGAACCCCTGTCAAGTATGTGTAGCACGATGTGGTCACACCAGTCACAGCGGAGGTCGCGTGGTCACACCGGTCCCAGCGCTGGCCACGTGGTCACACCGGTCTCAGCGCAGGTCACGTGGTCACACCGCTCACAGCGATGGCCACGTGATCACGCCGGTCACAGGCTTAAGCAGAGACCGTCTCACCACCGCCAACACCTGCGGTGAAATATCCGCCTTTAATTTAAGACGCAAGTCGCCTCGTCGTTGACCTATTTCTAAAAAGCCGGATCGGAGCCCTGATTGCCTCTGGCCAGGCTCGTCCCCGCCTGAAGACGCTGTCCTGACCGTCCGCGCCCCACACCAGGGTCTCGGTCTTCCTCCCTCGAGGGAGGTGAGGGCCCTGAGGGTCTCGCTCTTCCTCCCTCGGGGAGTGAGGGTCCTGACCTGGCGGCTACTGACCGCAGTGGCGCCGGCCACCCCGGCGCTGAATTATTCAGCCGGCCACTTAGTGGCGCTCTGTTATGACACGCGCTCGAGCCTCGGCGGGCGCCGGCGACACGCGAGGCAAGCCGCCGCCCGACAATAACAATGATTCACACCCGGTACTGGCCACCAGGGCGCCGCTTTATAACACCGAGCTCCGCCGGCGACGACGGCTCCGCTCAATGGCAGCCGGCGCTAATTACACGTGAGTGATTTACTTTTATTCGGACCATTCGCCCGCCTGAAATAAGAAGCGCTTTAATTTACAGTTATCGCAGCTGCTATAGGCTTCGCCGGCTATTCAGGCGATTACTCCATTTTAACGCACAGGCCACACCACGTCCATAATGCTAAACACTAACGAATTATCATTTCCAAGGCACTGCTCGGCACGTGTACTAATTTGTATTTACTGCTACTGGCGACCACACACGGCAATCAGCAAGCAACAGACTCAGAAGTGATGTTGGAAATAACCCAGACAACGGAGCAGTGCTAGAGCCACCGAAGACGGCGCTGGAGCCGCCGACAACCTGAGGCCCGTTTTCATAAGCCGATGGAAGCCATTCCTTACTTCGGGGTGAGCCATCCCTTACCTATGACGTCACCACCCCGGCCCATTCCCTACTCGGCCGAGAGACGAAGAGCGTTTGTTTACAAGCAAGTTGTCGGTGCTGACCTGACAACGCACAGCAACGGTCGATGCGCTGTTGACGGCCTGGTATGTCCGGCGAACGGGCAGATTCCACTCTAATGCGGAAAGTGTGATCGATATTGATGTACTTAGCTGCAGATCACTTGCCAACAAAGGTTATTCGAACAATATTCAAGCGCGCCATTCCTGCGTGCTATATGTCTCTATCGGTTGGACCAGCTGGTTCCAGTTGTAGCCACAATTTGAATTAAAGACGTCCTCCGCTGGTGCGTATCTATGACGTCATCTCAACAGGCGGAGCTCAGGTCGAAGGCCAATGAGGAGCTGGGCTCCGGCGCTCAGCCACGAGGACACCACCGCCGCCACTCACTTGGGGTCGGTGCTGGGGGTGAGGGCCTGGCTGGACTGGACGGCCGCGGGGAAGAGGGGCTGCGCCGCCGCCAACGGTAGCTGGTACGGCAGCTCCAGCGGCAGCCCTGCCGGAAACGCGGCAGTCAGAGGTCGCCGTCAGCCAGCGGGACAGGGCGCGCCGGCACGACGCCAGCCGGCCGCACTCCGGCGCCGCGCTCATCACGCGCGGAACACGCCTTCAAAGACATTCTGATCCTGCTTTGGTTCGTAATTCGGATCAAGCACACCTCGATTGACACTTTGATGGGACTGTTATCACCCGCGGTACTTCTGGATTATTAAATGGGCTTTTTGAACTGCATAAGTGATGGTGGACACCAGTGCATATACACTTTTGCATTTCCTCTGTCTAATTAAAACAACCTTTCGGAGCTTGATCTTGCCTGTCCAATGCACACGGAAACGCGATGTTCGTGACAGCTGGAGCAGGTCACGCTTGTACAACCCGGACCACGTGTCATCAAAGCCGGCCGACGGCGCGTGCACGGGTTACATCACCGCCGATACACCGATGTTGCATGGCACAGGTCACACACCTCATCCAGCGCTTCTCAGGCGGACATCCGTCACTCAAGACACAACGCCATCCCTTGCGTCACAAGCGCCTCATGAAAGGAGAGGGTGGAGGGGAGGGGGGGGGGGCATGGGCCGGCCCCGCGGCGCCAGCTGCGGCGGTGGCGGCGGTGGCGGGCCCGGATGGTGTCCGGCTCCGGTGGCGGCAGCCGCACCCGGCCGCCGCTGTCCGTCGTCGCCAGGGGTGACGCTGGTTGGTGACCCCCGGTCATGTGGCGCCGGCCGCCCGCGCAGAGCCGGCCCACCTGCTGAGCTGGCGCGGCCAAGCGGGTCGGGCTCCGCCGGACGCAACCGAGCCGCCCCACCGGGGTCGGCCGGGGTCGGGTTGTCATGACCTCCGACCCGCACCCGCACCGGCGGCCGGCGGCACCGGCTGGGTGGCAGAGGCCGCTCGCCAGACGATCCACGGCACAGCACGGCACGGCACGGCACGGCGCGACACGGACGGCACGGCACGGCACGGCGCGGCACGGTACGGTACGGCACGGCACGGCACGGCACGGCACGGTACGGCATGGCACGGCACGGCACGGCACGGCACGGCGCGGCCGCACGGCACGATACGGCACGGCACGGCATGGCGCGGCACGGTACGGCATGGCCCGGCACGGTACGGTACGGCACGGTACGGCACGGTACGGTACGGCACGGCACGGCACGGCACGGCACGGCACGGCACGGCACGGCACGGCACGGCATGGTACGGCACGGCACGGCACGGCACGGCACGGCACGGCACGGCATACGGTGGGGATGGACAAGCACCAGACTGGGTATAACAGGAGACAGGCCGGCTTTCGACGCTAGGAAGTCGGCGCCAAGGACAACTGGGTAGCCACTGCCACAGCGCAGGAGGGAATGGCACGCCGCATGACAGCTCCATCAGACGCAGTGACAAAGGAAGACGGGGAAAACAGTGGAGGCCCATGCAGCAGCAAGTGCCGGTAACTTAATTCAAACCGTGGTTGCGGGATGTCGTAACACGCCGGCAATTCGCTCAGCGGTATTGAGCGTTGCAAAACGTTAAAAATATAGCTGACGTTCGTCTGATAATCTTGCGTTGGTGCGTTTATCTCCGTTCTCAAACTGGTTAGAGCAGTGTGTCGCCGCGGCCGATATGAAAGACTTCGTGGCCTTGTGTCTGACAGGTGATCTTACTTCAATAACCAGCAACAAACGGTCTACTTCCAATATATTTTACTGACGCGTTTACCTCAGCCCTACTTCACGGACGGTGCAATTATTTAAAACAGTAAGAGAGAGAGAGAGAGAGAGAGAGAGAGAGAGAGAGAGAGAGAGAGAGAGAGAGAGAGAGAGAGAGAGAGAGAGAGAGAGAGAGAGAGAGAGAGAGAGAGAGAGAGAGAGAGAGAGAGAGAGAGAGAGAGATACATGCATATATATATATATATATATATATATATATATATATATATATATATATATATATATATATATATATATTTATATATATATGTGTGTGTGTGTGTGTGTGTGTGTGTGTGTGTGTGTGTGTGTGTGTGTGTGTGTGTGTGTGTGTGTGTGTGTGTGTGTGTGTGTGTGTGTGTGTGTGTGTGTGTGTGTGTGGTGTGTGTGTGTGTGTGTGTGTGTGTGTGTGTGTGTGTGTGTGTGTGTGTGTGTGTGTGTGTGTGTGTGTGTGTGTGTGTGTGTGTGTGTGTGTGTGTGTGGTGTGTGTGTGTGTGTGTGTGTGTGTGTGTGTGTGTGTGTGTGTGTGTGTGTGTGTGTGTGTGTGTGTGTGTGTGTGTGTGTGTGTGTGTGTGTGTGTGTGTGTGTGTGTGTGTGTGTGTGTGTGTGTGTGTGTGTGTGTGTGTGTGTGTGTGTGTGTGTGTGTGTGTGTGTGTGTGTGTGTGTGTGTGTGTGTGTATGTGCAGCACGGATACGTCGCCCACGTGGTTACGACCACTTACATTATATTGCACCTGTTTTAGCCAGTTGTGCTATTTTACATCGCGAGCATATCACCCTCAGGAATAGATTGCACTGGAACTCACACTCGGCGAGAGAAGCAAGGAAATAAATCATGATCCTTACACCTTAACTATTCTAAGAAACTTTTGATCTCGGTTTACATTACGTCATTGCAACACCCGCCATCAAATCCGTTGTACAAGAGCGGGTTCAAACGGGACCAATACAACTTGAGCCATCCTCAGCCAATGTGAGATCTTCTGTTCTAGTGTAGGCGCTCCCCAAAGGAACTGCACTGCTGGTTAAACCGCCTCCCAAAACGGACCCGACCAGCCAGCCGGCGTACCTTGCGCGTCCTTGACCTGGCTGAGAGGGCACGAGATGAGACTGGGGCACGGCTGGCGTCCGTCCGGCTTCAGCGCCGGGTCGCAGTGGTCGCTGAGGTGGCCGCGAGCGTCCCGACAGAACACGGCTCGCGTCTGCTGACCCGTGTCGCCGCAGGTCACTGAGCACTGGAGGCCGACGGCGACAAGCAGTGAGGCGCTGGCACAGACCGGCGGCGCCGGCGAGCGCCGGCACGGCGGTGACGGATGCCACCGCGGGAGATGCGGCGGTGACGGATGCCACCGCGGGAGATTGCCCCGCGCGTTACCTGAGCACCACGGCTACACATGTAACGTCATGCATTACTGAGGTAAAATGACTCTTGACAAACTGATACAATAAAGCTTGGCGCATGTCTAATGAGACATCGCGGTTGGCGGAGTGAGGACAGCAAACATCCAACAAATAGCTGTGCGTGGAGGTCTGAAGCACAGTGAAAGGCAAACACCCTTTGAAGTTGCGGGTAAACAGGCCGTCGGATATGCCAACCGAAGCACGTTAAGTTGGAACTGACAGTACCGTTTAATACCTGTTTGAGCTGGAAAACCCCGGTCTTTCCTTATCACGCCAGAATGATGCTAACACCCCCTGTCATGCTAGTGTGGCCCCGACCCTAGCATTTTATCATCTCAGCAGCGTTTCATCCCATGGGTTGCCATATGCATTTAAACACAGCATTAATTGAACAGGGAAAACATTGATAAAAACCCAGGGCATCTGAGTAGGGCCACGCAGCAGTCGACTGCTCTTATCTATGCATGACGCTCGACTGGAGCGGGAACGAAAATCCAGCTGCTCGAATGGTTTAAATTTGGCGTGGGTGCGAAAAGAGGGATGATATGAACATTTAAGTTACCAATAAACACGAGGCATGCAGTGGTGCGAAAGTTCCTGAACTGATTTGCATAACAACTAGGATATGTTTAAAAAACAACTTCCAAGCCCTTCAACAACGAAGTGTTTTCATGAACAGAATCCTTCCAAAATATGACGAAACACGGCACGATGTTAAGAGAAATGCGTAATTATTAACCTAGCGTAAGTAGAAACATAGCGTCGGGCAAAGTCATTTTTTCGTTTTCGCATGCTTTACATTCCAGTTGACCCATAAACATGTCTTTCTATGGCTATCACAGCATTTAAAAAAGAGACTGTCCCGCGTAAACGCATTTCTACCTCGCATCACAACATCGTCCATGCCGAGACGCCTCGGTGTTCAGGACGGGCGCCACTGTTCTCTAGCGGCGGGCCCGTTCCTCCGCGTCGCGGCGGAAGCGATTGTCTTCCGCGCCGCGTGCCGGCCCCCTCAGCACGGTTCAGCGGAGCGGGCCCGCCCGCCAGCCGATTTATTGCAGGTGATTCGGCGCCGTTTCGCGGGGCAATTCCGGACTCAATTTATGATTTCGGCCGAGCCGCACGCCAAACCCAATATTCAAAACCCGACTGCTGGGCGGGCGCGGTTGTCGGCAGACTGCCGTCTGGCCGCGCGGCGGAGCACTGCGGCGCGGCGACCGCCGTAAGACGGCCGGTGGTGCCGCTGGAGGGCGGTAGCCACAGGCACCGCTGCTGGGGCGGCAGCCGCAGGCACGGCAGCCGCAGGCATCGCCGCTGGGGAGGCAGCCCCAGGCACCACCTCTGGGGAGGCAGCCCCAGGCACCACCTCTGGGGCGGTAGCCACAGGCACCACCTCTGGGGCATACAGCCGCAGGCACCGCCGCTGGAGGGCGGTAGCCACAGGCACCGCTGCTGGGGCGACAGCTGCAGGCACCGCCGCTGGGGCAGGCTGCCACGTAGCCCCGACATCACTAACGCGACGCGGATTTCACCGGAAACGTGGGCGCATCGAAAACGTACCAGGGACATTGGAGTAAGGACAGGGTTTTGTAGTATGTGGACGCAAGCCGCAATGCTTTTCAGTACCTGCGTATTGGGATGTGTCGGTTTTAGTCAATGTCACAAGTTAAACAAAGAGCTCGACTGCCGCTGATGATGTTAACCTCTCACAGGCTTCGGATGTGACCGGCACTCGGCACTCACTGTCGGTGTCCGGACGAGGCATGCTGTCCCATGCGCGAGGCATCGGCTGATCCGCGGTCAAGCGCGGCAGCACGCCAAACATGGCGGAATAATGCTGAGCCGTCAAATTGAACTACTGAGAGGGTCAGCTCGCCACGCGACAAGTGTCTGGAGCGGCTCTTAACGACGCACGCCAAACAAATCACCTTCATTTCTAAAGACGCTTGTTTTGTTGGCGAAGCTCCCACAACGGCGACCGATGTTTCTAACACCCGGCCCAGCCCCGGCCCCGGCCCCGACGCCGGCCACCATCGCCTGGGTGTCGAGCGGCTAGACGTCCTCCGCCGAGGGTCAGCGCCCGGCCCGTTGGTCACCAGCCGCTCCATCCGCTGTCGGCCGGCCGATGGTGTTCAATGAGGCCGTGTTTTCGCCGGCCGTCCGGCCGCGAAGCCACACAGCCGGCGCCAGCGGGCATTTATTGACCAGCAGACGTCGGCGGACGGGAGGCCCGGCGGTGCGAAGCCCTCTGATGTTGAAGATGAGAGCCGCCTGATGCAAACAGCGACAGATCGAGCGAGGACGCCGTCGAGCGACAGAGCCGAAACAGAAACCTAATGGCATCCGGGTGCCGTGGTGGCAATGACACCACGTTCAGTCTGTCAAGCCAAATGCGACAGCCGACGGCGGCCGGCTTCATTGCACCGCCAACAACGCGACGATCATGGGCTGTACAAGAGATATGATGCCCTCTCACAGCGAGCCGCGGCTGATAGGGCCTCAAATGCCACCAAGAACCTTAATTTCAAGCTCTATGCTGCCCTAGATGTCTGCGTCCGGAGGCGCTCCTGCTCGGCTCCAGTCGTCTCCGCTGACGCTGCGGCCGCACCAGGCGCTCGCTTCAGGCGTCCGGTCTGCGCGGGCTCTCGTGGACGGCCCCCGCGGACGGCCCTTGCCCGGTCTGTGCGATTTGTATCGGATGACCCTCGTCCGGTCTGCGCGCGCTCCCGTGGACGGCCCCTGCGGACGGCCCCCGTGGACGGCCCCCGCGGACGGCCCCCGCGGACGGCCCCCGTGGACGGCCCCCGTGGACGGCCCCCGTGGACGGCCCCCGCGGACGGCCCCCGCGGACGGCCCCCGTGGACGGCCCCCGCGGACGGCCCCCGTGGACGGCCCCCGCGGACGGCCCCCGTGGACGGCCCCCGCGGACGGCCCCCGTGGACGGCCCCCGCGGACGGCCCTCGTGGACGACCCCCGTGGACGGCCCCCGCGGACGGCCCTCGTGGACGACCCCCGTGGACGGCCCCCGTGGACGGCCCTCGTGGACGACCCCCGTGGACGGCCCCCGTGGACGGCCCCCGCGGACGGCCCCCGCGGACGGCCCCCGTGGACGGCCCTCGCCCGTCCCGTGCGGGCTCCCGCAGAAGACCCTCGGCCGGTCTGTGCGGTTTGCCTCGGATGACCCACGCCCGCTCTGTGCGGGCTCCCTCAGAACCCTCGGTCGGGCTGTGCGGGCTCCCTCGGGCAGGTCCCTCGGCCGGTGCGCGGGTCTCGGCGGACCAACACTGATCGGCGGCACGCGTGTTCGGCGTCAGTCCGGTGCGCCACTCCTCCAGGCCCACATTAGCGTGTCCGACCGTTAGCTTGATTGATTGGCGCTATTTGAGTGTAGCATGAATGGCTTTGATGGACAGAGGCTTGAGCTAAGCGTGTGGGGGCACACATTCCTCCTGAGGGCGCTTTGACAAGGCGCAAGTGCTGGCAATATTCCGCACGGATTAGCCACGATTATAAGGCAAGTAGGCCCGCAGGGCTTCTCGGCAAAGCTTGCATAATCCAGCATTTCGACTCAGCTAGTTGCTAATGCTGTTGCGAAGCTATTGTCAAGGATACTTTAGTATACTCGACGAAATAGCATGCTACACAGTTGTATACGTGGCTTTCGTCCCGTAAACGACGTGATTCTGGGTAACACTGCAGCTTCACACCTTTCTATAGTTCACACTAATTTGCTTAGTCCCACAGTTGCCGCTGTTCGGACGACAAGTTTAGTTCACAAACAAATTTATCCTCGTAGTTTGTGCATCCGCTGTGGTCTGAACAATGACAATGGCAGGCATCGATACGACCAGTGAACAGAGAGTCTTTCTTGCGAGCTAGTGGAGGGTAGCCATAGGTTCGTGCTTGGAAGCATAGGCCCTTGTCTGGAAGCCCAACCCGAGTCAGACCCGGAGTCCCTCCGTCTTGAGTGAAAGTTCGAGACCCAGTTTAAGCCTGTGTGAAGCCTATGGTTCTTTTTGGTTGAGTTTGAGTCCGAATCCCACGTTCGCAATGCCATTTGAGTTCGAGTTTAATCAATGTTCATCTATGCGGAGGTCCAAATCCTAGCTCGGAATCCCAAGGCTTTTCAACTAACAAAACGAAATCTGAGTCCGATTAAGCTGCGAAATAAGTCGGGTTACTTGCATCACGAGTCCAGAAAAGCCATGACTCCTGAATCGATTCCAGGTTCCGCCGGCGTTGGTTTCACATTTGAAAAAGGCTTGGGAGCCTTGGGCCTCCTTTTTGCGGAGGGCTTAAAGCCGAAGGTGTTTGGAAAGAAGACGAAGTAAAGACATCGTTTGAATCACATATGGACCACAACATTGAACACCACCAAACATTCAATACTTAAGGACACGTGAATGTTACACCTTACGTACCACAGTCCTGTCAGGAGCTTACGCAGCCCCCTGGTAGGCCCATTCGGCACATTATTTGCATAATCGATGCTCGGACTTCACGGGTCACATGCCGATAAAGCTTCAAAATAATCGCATGGATGGAGACGGGACTAGACTACTACAACAGACAGATGGCCATGAAACACCAGTACGAGTCCCGCCTTCGCCAGCAGCGACTCTGCTGGGTACAGACGCCGCGAGCAGTGGCTTTTCCGACGCTCTATTGCCCACGAAGCGCAGATAGTGGCCCGCGTCGCCGGCTATTTCCATATCAAAGCTCCGAGAGATTCCCAGAAAACGCGCAAAATATGATTAGGGCCGTCGAAAATGGACAGCGGACAAAGAGCGTGGCGCCCGGCACGGGCCTGTTTTGCGCCGAGCCTGCTCGGCCG